CTGTCAGGATAGATAGTCAGTCAGTCAGTCTGTCAGGTCACTGTGTCAGTCAGTCTGTCAGTCTGTCAGGATAGTCAGTCAGTCAGGTCACTGTGTCAGTCAGTCTGTCAGGTCACTGTGTTAGTCAGTGTATTTGGTCAGTCAGTCAGTCTGTCAGGATAGTCAGTCGGTCAGTCAGGTCACTGTGTCAGTCAGTCTGTCAGGATAGTCAGTCGGTCAGTCAGGTCACTGTGTCAGTCAGTCAGTCTGTCAGGATAGCCAGTCGGTCAGTCAGGTCACTGTGCTAGTCAGTCTGTCAGTCAGTCTGTCAGGTCACTGTGTTAGTCAGTGTATTTGGTCAGTCTGTCAGGATAGTCAGTCGGTCAGTCAGGTCACTGTGTCAGTCAGTCAGTCTGTCAGGATAGTCAGTCGGTCAGTCAGGTCACTGTGTCAGTCAGTCTGTCAGGTCACTGTGCTAGTCAGTGTGTCAGTCAGTCAGTCTGTCAGGTCACTGTGTCAGTCAGTGTATTTGGTCAGTCTGTCAGGATAGTCAGTCAGTCAGTCAGTTCACTGTGTCAGTCAGTGTATTTGGTCAGTCTGTCAGGATAGTCAGTCAGTCAGTCAGGTCACTGTGTCAGTCAGTCTGTCAGGATAGATAGTCAGTCAGTCAGTCTGTCAGGTCACTGTGTCAGTCAGTCTGTCAGTCAGTCAGTCTGTCAGGTCACTGTGTCAGTCAGTCGGTGAGTGGGTGGGTGGGTCTGCCCGTTGAGGTCACGTGGTGTCGCTGGATCAGGTACAGACACAATACGCACGCGCGCTCTAACAGTAACAGGTGCCGTGGCCCCGCCCCCCGCCGCCCGTTGCTTGGTAACCGCCCGGGGATGGTGCCTGCGGCCTTTAAACTCAACCTGCACTCCCGGGAGTGAACACTCAGCCTCCTCTCCCCCGCCTGGCCTGGAGCGAGCACTCAGCCTGACCTCTTCCACCCCGGGGCAGACACCAAACTAAAGGTGAGTCCCCCCTCCCCCCAACATGGAGACTGATACTGGGGGTCCCCCCCAACATGGAGACTGATACTGGGGGTCCCCCTCCCCAACATGGAGACTGATACTGGGGGTCCCCCTCCCCAACATGGAGACTGATACTGGGGGTCCCCCCCTCCCCCCCCAACATGGAGACTGATACTGGGGGTCCCCCCTTCCCGATGGAGACTGATACTGGGGGTCTCCTTCCTCCAACATGGAGACTGGGGGTCTCCCTCCTCCAACATGGAGACTGGGGGTCTCCCCCTCTTATAGTGTGTGTGGATATTGGGGGGTTCTCCCCATCTTATAGTGTGTGTGTGGATATTGGGGGTGGCTTCCCATCTTATATAGTGTGTGTGTGGATATTGGGGGCTCCCATCTTATAGTGTGTGTGTGGATATTGGGGTTCTCCCCATCTTATAGTGTGTGTGGATATTGGGGCCTCCCATCTTATAGTGTGTGTGGATATTGGGGGTTCTCCCATCTTATAGTGTGTGTGTGGATATTGGGGGCTCTCCCATCTTATAGTGTGTGTGTGGATATTGGGGGTTCTCCCATCTTATATGTGTGTGGATATTGGGGGTCTCCCATCTTATAGTGTGTGTGGATATTGGGGGTCTCCCCATCTTATAAAGTGTGTGTGGATATTGGCCCCCATCTTATGGGTGTGTGTGGATATTGGGGGTCTCCATCTTATAGTGTGTGTGGATATTGGGGGTCTCCCCATCTTAGAGTGTGTGGATATTGGGGTCTCCCCCTCTTGTGTGTGTGTGGATATTGGGGTCTCCCCCTCTTATTGTGTGTGTGTGTGTGTGTGTGTGGATATTGGGGTCTCCCCCTCTTATTGTGTGTGTGGATATTGGGGTCTCCCCCTCTTATAGTGTGTGTGTGTGGATATTGGGTGTGGCGAAACCAACCTCGCCACTGTGCACTGGAGAAGCCTGGTTGCTCGCCTGCAGCCTTTGGACTATGGCCCCATGTTAAGACATCTTTTTTCCCTGCAGAAAATACTTATTCGTGCTTTTCTGCAGGGTGTTCGGTAGATTTGTTTGAGTATGTTGTGCCCCAGATAGGAGCCCATTCGCATGAAACTGACTGTGTTAAAGACTTTGGCTCCATGGCGATTACACTGTATTCGTGTGGTCTGAGCACCATTCGCTTAATAATGTGCGCTCAGACCTGAGCTATCTGGGGATATGTAGAACGTATGTTTTATGTACTGAATGTAACTTTAGGTAATTTTATGTCTTTTACTGTTTGTTTTCTGCCATGTGGTTAATGGAGTTTTGCCTCTGTCTTTGGAGATAATTGAATTACTTCTCAATTATCTCCAGAGCAGAGAGGAGGGATTGTGATGCATTGTGGGATGGTTGAAATGTGTAAGTCTGTGATTGGTCCTTTTACCCTTTGTGTCCCAGTCTCCCATTTGGTCCACTAGGGGAGTGTCCACCAGGTGGGAGACCTGCATAAAAGCCGGGCAGTTAGCCCCAGTAAATCAGTTCCTGCTTAACCCTCAAAGTGAAGTGTCGTCTCATTATTGGGGGAGGATTTACTGTATGCTGTTAGAGACTGATTGCCAGGAGTGTAAGCTGCTTGGGGGCTTTTCCTGTTTGTCTGCTGGCAGTTATTCGTGTGTCTCCAGTTCGGGAGTTTCGAGTATTCCCTTGGTATGCAGTTCGGAAGTTGGTGAATTCGTGGGTTTGCAGTTCAGGAGATTGGTGCTTGCAGTAGCTGTCGGTGCAGCTGAAAAAGGGGAATATCGCCTAAACGGTTTTTAACCTCTTTTGGGCAAAACGTTCCGTTACATTGGGGTCTCCCCCTCTTATAGTGTGTGGATATTGGGGTCTCCCCCTCTTATAGTGTGTGTGGGTATTGGGGTCTCCCCCTCCAACATGGAGACTGATACTGGGGTCTCCCCTGTTATAGTGTGTGTGCGTTTAGTAGATCTTCCCTTCCAGAGACACAGGCACAGCTACTGTAGACACCAATACACCGAACCGGAGAAGCATTTGAATGCTCTCAAACATACGATTGCTGTAAACAGCCGAATAGGAAAAACCATACATAGTTACATAGCTGAAAAGAGACTTGCGTCCATCAAGTTCAGCCTACCTCAACATTTGTTTTTTGCTGTTGATCCAAAAAAAGGCAAAAAAAAAACCAGTTTGAAACACAATTTTGCAACAAGCTAGGAAAAAAAATTCCTTCTTGACCCCAGAATGGCAGTCAGATTTATCCTTGGATCAAGCAGTTATTACCCTACATTGAAACGTTATATCCTTGAATATTCTGTTTTTTTGCAAGTATGCATCTAGTAGCTGTTTGAACATCTGTATGGACTCTGATAAAACCACTCCTTCAGGCAGAGAATTCCACATCCTGATTGTTCTTACAGTAAAAAAACCTTTCCTTTGCCTTTTCTTCTTTTCTTCCAGTATAAACGCATGACCTCGTGTCCTATGTAAAGTCCGGTTTGTGAATAGATTTCCACACAATAGCTTGTATTGGCCCCGAATATATTTGTATAATGTTATCATATCCCCTCTCAGGCAACGTTTTTCTAAGCTAAATAGGTTTACATTTGTTAACCTTTCTTCATAGCCGATATGTTCCATTCCTTTTATTAATTTTGTAGCCCGCCTCTGCACTTTTTCTAGTGCCATAATATCCTTCTTTAGAACAGGTGCCCAAAATTGCACAGCATATTCAATATGAGGTCTTACCAGTGATTTATAAAGAGGCAAAATTATATTCTCGTCCCGAGAATGAATGCCCTTTTTCATGCATGACAATACCTTACTGGCCTTGGCCACTTCTGATTGACATTGCACATTATTGCATAGTTTGTTGTCGATAACAATTCCCAAGTCCTTTTCATGTGTTATCCCTAATTCGCTTCCATTAAGGGTATACGTTGCTTGTGTATTCTTTACGCCGAAGTGCATACCTTTGCATTTTTCAACATTTAAATTTCACCTGCCATTTGAGTGCCCAGTCCCCCAGTCTATCTAAATTCCTCTGCAGCAAAGTAATATCTTGCTCACATTGTATTATTTTACAAAGTTTTGTCATCTGCAAACAGTGAAACATGACTTTCAATGCTGTCTTCAAGATCATTTATAAACATGTTAAATAGAAGGGGTCCCAGAACAGACCCCTGAGGGACACCACTTGCCACCTCTGTCCAGCTTGAAAATTTACCATTAATGACAACTCTTTGTACTCTGTTTTTAAGCCAATGTTCTACCCAAGAACAAGCATTTTCATCTAGACCGATTTCCTTGAGTTTGAACACTAATCTATAGTGTGGAACTGTATCAAATGCCTTGGCAAAATCCAAGTAGATCACATCCACTGCAACACCCTGATCTATACTTCTACTTACTTCTTCGTAGAATGCAATTAGGTTAGTTTGACATGACCTGTGCTGGATGTTTGCTGATAACCATGTTCTTCTCAAGGAATTCTTGAATATTATCCCTTAACCTTTCAAATATTTTACCAGCCACAGAAGTTAAGCTCACAGGTCTATAATTTCCAGGCAAGGATTTTGAACCCTTTTTAAATATAGGAACCACATCTGCCTTCCTCCAATCCTCCAGAACACTTCCTGGAAGAAAAGAATCTTGAAAGATTAAAAACAGAGGTTCACTTATTTCTACACTTAGTTCCTTACACTCCTAGCAGTCAAACTGGAACAGCATACAATAAATCCCCCCCCAGAACAAGACAAATCTCCGTCTTGAGGGTCAAGCAGTGAACAGACAGAGCTGTTGGGTTTATTGTTCTTATATACACATTAGTACCACCCAAAGGGTTTTGGAAAACAACCAATAAACACATACAATACACTCACACTCCCACACAAAATCCTTCTCTCTGCCTGTGATACAATTACCTTACACAATGGGTAATGTAATTATCACAAGCAGAGAAATACAGTTTTTCCACATTATTCATAACTTGAAAAGTATGCATCACATTCACATAAACATTTTCAGACTCCGCATACTCCAAATACAAACATATGTCAAAATCATCCAAATTGGTCCATTGGTTCAAAAGATAGATCATAGTCCTTTGTGACCAAATGAAGCATGGCTTTTGTAGCGGAGCGGCAATATTAAATTCCACGATCTCCGCTGGTTCAGAAGGTAATCCACAGTCAAGCACTGAAAAGTAAGGCAATATCCCAAATCTCCCAGTAACCGGACGAAACACAGTTCTGATAGTCAACTGAGGCTTTATTCACAGGCTCCACAATTTATACAATAACCCATGCAAGGGGTTTCCTGAGTCACATCACAGGGGTATTTCAGGAGAGGACTACATGGGAAACTTACTGTACAGGGCATTTCTCCCATCAGGCCCTGCTGCACGAGAGGGATCCTCCCACTGGAATGTACCGTTAAGTGGATTATCCCTCCATGCAGCAGAACCGGCAATTTATATTAAAATACACAACTTTTCGAATATTAGGTCTATTTGCACGAATGGACGTTCGGTAGGTAGCTGGGGTCTGAGTGCGTCATTTGTGAGATTACCGCTCAGATCCCAGCTACAACAACCGAACGCCGCACGAAAAACATTCACCAAAACATGCATTTAAAAGACCGATTGATATCTGTGGACTCAAATACCGAACGGCCCGGAACTCCCGAACGGCCTGGAAGTCCAGCGGTGTTCGCGCCATCGAGTAGCCGCTTTTAGTACCACGCGCTCGACGACCAAACACCGCTGGAGGAACAAAGGATGGCCGACCGCCGCATGGTCGGTAGTCGAACGACGGCCACCTAGGAGAGCCTCTAATTACCGATTGCAACATTGTTGCAATCGGTTAACAAGCGCCACACGTCTTTTAGTGGGTGGGATATTAAAAGATAGTTCATTTGGTTCACGAACAGCCCGCAAAGGCGCTCTTCGTGAAATGAAATGAAATACAGCTATCTGCTTTTGGCAGATAGCCCACACAGGCAATGCAATAATACGGTTTACATTACATTGCAACCAGGTACATATAACGTTATAAGAACTATACAGGCAACCCTTAAAGCCATAGTCTCTCTGTATTGTCCAAGTGGCTAGTTTTGCCACAGCTTTTCTGCCCAAAACCAGTTCCACAGAGTCTTCTATCCTGGAGATAATTGGGAAGTAATCCAATTATCTCCAAGGACAGAGGCAAAACTCCATTGAACACATGGCAGCAATAAAATACATAAAAACATATAACTGTGCAGCCATTGCATAAAACATGTACAGTCAACATATCCCCAGATAGCTCACATCTGAGCGCATATTATTACTGAATGGCGCTCAGAGCACACACATACAGTTCAATTGCCATGGAGCCAAAGTCTTTCCCATAGTCTTTCATTATACGAACGGGCTCCATGGCATAGCTATCTGGGGTATCACCGCTCAAACAGGGCAAGCACCGAATGACCCGGCTTTCGTGTCTTTGCAGGGGAAAATCAAGCGTTTCAACATGGGGCCATAGTCTAAAGGCAGCAGACGGCAACCAGGCTCCTCCAATGCACAGTGGTGAGATTGGTCTCGTCACAGGAGGGTTTATGTCTGAGCCACTGTGTTTGGCTAATGTATCATACTTGTCCCAGTCTTCCATCTGGAGACCAGCATAAATACCGGGCAGGTAGCCCTCATTAAAGCAGATTCCTGTTTTACCCTCAAGACAGAGCTTGGTCTCGTGTTTTGGCGGATTGCTACTTTGGGGTATTCTTTCGCCAGCTCAAGGAGGAGAGGAGGGGTTCGTATGATTCTCTGTTCGGGAGTTTGAAGCATTCCCTTATATTCCGTTCGGGAGTTTGGCGGTATACAGCAACGGTGCCTGTGTCTCTAAAGGGGGAAGATCTACTAAACGGCAGTTTCACTCCTTTATGCCGGGAGTGTCTTAACATTGGGGTCTCCCCCTCTTATAGTGTGTGGGTATTGGGGTCTCCCCTCATCTTATAGTGTCTGTGTGGATATTGGGGTCTTCCCCATCTTATAGTGTGTGTGTGGGGGTATTGGGGTCTCCCCCCTTCTTATAGTGTGTTGGGGTCTCCCCCCTATTATAGTGTGTGTGTGTATATTCGGGTCTCCCCCTCCAACATGGAGACTGATACTGGGGGTCTCCCCCTCTTATAGTGTGTTTGTGGATACTGATGGTCGCCCCCTCATAGTGTGTGAGGATATTGGGGTCTCCCCCTCTTATAGTGTGTGTGGATACTGGGGGTCTCCCCTCTTATCGTGTGTGTGTGTGGTGGGTATTGGGGTCTCCCCCCATCTTATAGTGTGGGGTATTGGGGTCTCCTCCCATCTTTTGGTGTGTGAGTGGATATTAGGGTCTCCCCCTCTTAGTGTGTGCGGATACTGGGAGTCTCTTCCCCCCCCCCCACTCCCCCTCTTATAGTGTGTGTGTGTGTGTGTGTGTGTGTGTGTGTGTATACTGGGGTCTCCCCTCTTATAGTGTGTGGATATTCGGGTCTCCCCCTCCAACATGGAGACTGATACTGATGGTCTCCCCCTCATAGTGTGTGAGGATATTGGGGTCTCCCCCTTTTATAGAGTGTGTGTGAATATTGGGTGTGACAGATCCCTCTGTCTTAGAACTATAGTGCTTTCCTGGTGGATTTGTGTAATTGTTTGTCCATACTCCCCCGTTCGTTTGTTTTATAATCTACCAAACAAACTGCCGAACGGCCGGCAACCCAGAAGAGGAGTGTGCTGCTGGTTAACCTATTGGGCCCCAATTCGATCGTTGTAGTTAACCGCAAACATCTCTGTGACGAGAGCAATCTCACCACATTGCTTTGGAGAAGCCTGGTTGCTCGCCTGCTGCCTTTGGATTATGGCCCCATGTTAAAAGACTTTGTTTCCCCTGCAGAAAAGACTTATTCGTGCTTTTCTTCCCGGTGTTGGTAGATTCAATCTACCGAACAACCGCACGAATGACTAGACCACCTGGGAGCTGGAGTGTGCCGGCAATTAGCCTCCCAGAAGCTGCGGTTAACCACAGCTTAATTGACGAATACTGGATTGCCGCCATTCGTATAATGAACACGAGGTCGCGGCCATTTTAAACACGCGAATGCACAGCGGTGTTCGACGCTTCATTCATGGAACTAAAATCGGACACAGTTTTGCGCGAACACTGCTGAAGCCGCCGACCTCCCTTCTTGTTTGGTGAAAGTGCACGAACGGCCCGGTGTTCGGTAGTTGTTCCTGACTGCACTATACCCCAGATAGGAATCCCATGGAGCTCATTCGTATGAGAACTGACTTTGTAAATAATAATGTGCGCTCAGACCTGAGCTATCTGGGGATATGTTAAATGTATAGTTTTATTGTAACTTCTGTCACATATTGTATTTTAACAGTAATTCATGTTTTAGTATCCCCACGTGCATAATGGCGATTTGCCTTTGTCATAGGAGATAATTGAATTACTTCTCAATTATCTCCAAGGCAGAGGGGAGGAAGCCAGGATGCATTGTGGGAATATAATGTGACTGTGTGTCCTATTTGTCTGTCCCTTGTCCCAGTCTCCCATTTGGTCCCCTAGGGGAGTGTCCACCAGGTGGGAGACCTGCATAAATACTGGGCAGGTAGCTCTCATTAAACAGACCACTGCTTGACCATCAACACGGAGCCTTGTTTCGTCTTTGGGGGGATTTACTGTATGCTGATAGACTGATTGCTAGGAGTGTAAGCCGCTTGGATGCTTTTCCTATTCGTCTGCTAGCAGCGATTCGTATATTTCCAGTTCGTGTGTTTGGAGTGCTATATTGTATGCCGTTCGGGAGTTTGGAGCATTCCCTTACATGCGGTTCGTGAGTTTGGTGTTCTACAGTAGCTGTGCCTGCATCTCTGAAAGGCTACGATCGCCTAAACGGTTTTAACCCCTTGTGTGCTGAAATGGTACGTTACAACCTCCCAATTAAAACCGTATGCCGACCACAAGGCGGCGGCCATCTTAGATGCATGAATACACAGCGGTGTTCGCCGACCAACTTCTGGAACTCAAAACGGACACTTTTTTTTTTTTTTCTCCCGCACACCGCTGAAAACCGCTGACCTCCATTCTTTGTCATCCGGCATACGAACACCAGTCCGTTCGGGACTTTTTATTTCACCAATGCACTTAACCCAGATAGCCATCCCATGGAGCCCTTCATATACTGAAAGAACAGTGTGAAAGACTTTGGCTCCATGGCGATGGAACTGTGTGTATTGCATCTGAGCGCCGTTCGGTAATAATGTGCGCTCAGATCTAGGCTATCTGGGGATACGTTATATGTGTGGAATGCATTCGGTAGTCTTGAAGTTATGGAATTTTATGTATTTTTACTGTACTATTTTAAAATGGCGTTTTGCCTCTATCTATGGAGATAATTGGATTTCTTCCTAATTATCTCCAGGATAGAGAGGAGGGCTTGCTTGTACAAAGGGGAGGGTTTATGTCTGAGCCACTGTGATTGGCTACTGTACCTCATTTGTCCCAGTCTTCCCCTAGGGGAGTATCCACCAGGTGGGAGACCTGCATAAATACCAGGCAGGTAGCCCTCATTAAAGCAGATTCCTGTTTTACCCTCAAGACGGAGCTTGGTCTCGTGTTTTGGGGGGTTGCTACTTTTGAGTATTCTTTCGCCAGTTTAAGGAGGAGAGGAGGAGTTCGTATGATTTTCTGTTCGAGAGTTTGAAGCATTCCGTTCGGGAGTTTGGCGGTCTACAGCAACGGTGCCTGTGTCTCTAAATGGGGAAGATCTACTAAACGGCGGTTTCACTAATTTATGCCGGGAGTGTCTTAACATTGGGGTCTCCCCCCCTCCCCCATCTTATAGTGTGTGGATATTGAGGTCTCCCCCTCTTATAGTGTGTGCAGATATTGGAGTCACCCCTCTTATAGTGTGTGTGGATATGGGGGGGTCTTCCCCCCCCCCCCCTTATAGTGTGTGTGTAGATATTGGGGGCCTCCCCCTCTTACAGTGTGGGGGGGATACTGGGGGTCTCCCCTCTTATAGTGTGTGTATACTTGGGGTCTCCCCCTCCAACATGGAGACTGATACTGGGGGTCTCCCCTCTTATAGTGTGTGAGGATATTGGGGTCTCCCCATCTTATAGTATGTGAGAATATTGGGTGTTACGAAATCGCTACAGACAGAGATAACGTTGTTCATTCTTATATTTCACCCAGAACCTTGCTTCGGTACCATAATTTTGTACCCAACTCCCCGAACCGATTGCCTGATACTCATTCATTATACGAACGTACCACCCGTCCCCTGGCGTGTGCCGCCACTTAACCCCGGTCACCTTTCTAATAACTGAACGGTTTCTGCGGTTAACCGCAGGTTAAGTACCCCTTCCCGGCGGTCTTCGTTCGTTCGTCTCCCGAACAGCTGGGACATCCAGCAACAGAGTGGGGATTCGTGAAAACCCCTAGCCGTTCCTTGTTCCACGAGTTTGAGGTCGAGGTCCCGCTGCCTATTAACTCACTTAAAAACATGTCCGCCATCTCAAGCCCGGGACCAAAGACACGAACAGACTTTATAACGAGGAAACTAAGCGTTCAGTTCGTGGGTTTTGCGCGCTCTTGGGTTAACTGTTTCGCCCAGACCGGGGCTACATAATGAATGGTAGAATGCACGAATTATATATGAAACTGTTAAAGTTATGTATTTCTTTATCCTGTGTTTATGTGGCAAGAAAATGTGGTAATTTGGGCGCTTGGAGATAATTGTATTGTCATGACTACTGGATTCATTATCTCCAAGCTGGGCGGTAACAATTTCAAAAGATACATTGTATTCTTATTGGTTAACCACTTGTATTGTCCCTGTATCCCATCAGGTCCAGGGGGGGCTGTCTCTGGACCTGAGATTTTGCATAAATACTGATAACTGTGTGCCATTAAAGCCAGTTCTTGCTTGACCTTCAAATCGCAGCCTCGACTCGTTTTTGTAGGGAAAAAGGTATCCTAGTTATATCATAACTAGTGGGATTGTTCTACACTTACAGGATTCCTATGGTCTACTAGCTGAAGCGGCTTCTCTCTCTTTACATCGGAATCCAGACCATCCAAGCGGTCCAGCTTCCAGTTAGCCTGAGAGTAACCTGGTGTAACGGACCGTTTTGCACAAAAGGGGTAAAAACAGTTTAGGCGATTGGCCCCTTTTCCAGAGATGCAGGCACCGCTACTGCAGAGCACCAAACACACGAACCGCCAATAAGTGAATGCTCCAAACATTCGAACTGCATACAAGGGAATGCTCCAAACACCCGAACTGAAACCTCACGAATAGCTGCTAGCAGACGAACAGGAAAAGCACCCAAGCGGCTTACACTCCTGGCAATCAGTCTCTATCAGCATACAGTAAATCCCCAAAGACGAGACTCTCCGTGTTGAGGGTCAAGCAGTGGTCTGTTTAATGAGGGCTACCTGCCCAGTATTTATGCAGGTCTCCCACCTGGTGGACACTCCCCTAGGGGACCAAATGGGAGACTGTGACAAGGGACAGACAAATAGGACACACAGTCACAGTATATTCCCACAATGCATCCTGGCTTCCTCCCCTCTGCCCTGGGAGATAATTGAGAAGTAATTCAATTATCTCTCAAGACAAAGGCAAATCTCCATTATGCACGTGGGGATACTAAAACAAGCATTACTGTTAAAATACACCAGGTAAGACACCTTACATTAAAACTATACATTTAACATATCCCCAGATAGCTCAGGTCTGAGCAAACATTATTAAGTGAATGGCACTCAGACCACACGAATACAGTTTAATCGCCATGGAGCCAGTCTTTAATTCCACGAACAGGCTCCATGGCAGGCTATCTGGGTACTTGCACACCGAATACAATTGCAGCACTAAAAGTCCCGAATGCTCCGTTGTTCGGTTCCCAAACGGGTTTGCAGACTTCCAGCCTCAGCGGGGCTTGTAAGACAAAAGTGTCCGCTTTTGGTGTCCTGCCGCTGGGTAGAACAAGCGCTGGCTACCCGGGGAGCTTCCATAACACCGCCATCGTGTGGCGGCTAGGTGTAACAGCAACCACCCAGTAATTGTCAATTAAGCTGCGGTTAACGGCAGCTTCAGGGAGGTTAATTGCCGGCACACTCCAGCTCCCAGGTGGCCTAGTCATTCGTGCGGTTGTTCGGTAGATTGAATCTACCGAACACCAGGCAGAAAAGCAGGCGAAACAAAGTTTATATTTTTTTTTTTTTAACATGGGGTCATAGTCCAAAGGCAGCAGGCGAGCAACCAGGCTTCTCCAATGCAACCAGGGGTCTCCCCCTCTTATAGTATGTGAGGATATTGGGGTCTCCCATCTCCAACATGGAGACTGATACTGGGGGTGTGACAAGACCAATCTCACCACTGTGCATTGGAGGAGCCTGGTTGCCCGCCTGCTGCCTTTAGAGTATGGCCCCATGTTGGAACGCTTGATTTTCCCCTGCGAAGACACGAAAGCCAGGTCATTCGGTGCTGGCCCCGTTGGAGCGGTGATACCCCAGATAGCTATGCCATGGAGCCCATTCGTATAATGAAAGACTTTGGCTCCATGGCAATTGAACTGTATGTGTGTGCTCTGAGCGCTATTCAGTAATAATGTGCGCTCAGATCTGAGCTATCTGGGGATATGTTGAATGTACCTGTTTTATGCATTGGCTGCACAGTTATGTTTTTATGTGTTTTATTGTCTTTTGCTGCCATGTGTTCAATGGAGTTTTGCCTCTGTCCTTACTTCCCAATTATCTCCAGGATCGAAGACTCTGTGGAACTGGTTTTGGGCAGAAAAGCCATGCTTCATTTGGTCACAAAGGACTATGATCTATCTTTTGAACCAATGGACCAATTTGGATGATTTTGACATATGTTTGTATTTGGAGTATGCAGAGTCTGAAAATGTTTGTGAATGTGATGCGTACTTTTCAAGTTATGAATAATGTGGAAAAACTGTATTTCTCTGCTGGTGATAATTACATTACCCATTGTGTAAGGTAATTGTATCACAGGCAGAGGGGAAGATTTTGTGTGGGAGTGTCTGAGTGTATTGTATGTGTTTATTGGTTGTTTTCCAAAACTCTGTGGGTGGTACTAATGTGTATATAAGAACAATAAACCCACAGCTCTGACTGTTCCTGCCTGACCCTCAAAACGGAGCCTTGTCTCGTTCTTGGGGAGATTTATTGTATGCTGTTCCAGTTCGACTGCTAGGGTTTTTCCTATACGGCTGTTTACAGCATTCGTATGTTTGAGAGCATTCATATGCTTCTCCGGTTCGCTGGATTGATGTCTATAGTAGCTGTGTCTGTGTCTCTGGAAGGAAAGATCTACTAAACGGTGGTTTAACCCTTTTATACCTGGGGGTGCCGTTACAGGGGGTCTCCCCCTCCAACATGGAGACTGATACTGGGGGGTCTCCCCTCTTAGTGTGTGTGAATATTGGGGTCTCCCCCCTCTCATAGTGTGTGTGTCTGGATGTAGCGGAGAGGCAGTATAATCCACGATATCTCCGCAGGGTAACAGGAACAACAAAGGATAATCCAGGGAATCAGCATAGAATAATCCAAACAGCACTGCAGTAACCCTTCCTTCCCAAGAACTAGAAGACACATAGGCTGGGAGTCAACTGACAACCTTTTAATCGGCAGGACAATTTATACAAGTCCCCATGCAAGGGGTTTCCTGAGTCCCTCCCCAGGGGCACTCCCAGAGGGGACTACATGGGGGACTTTCATTACAGCATATTTCTCCCATCAGGCACCGCTGCACGAGAGGGATCATCCTCCCAGAATGCACCGTTAAGTGGATTACCCCCTCGTGCAGCAGAACCGACAATTCACACAAAAATCCATAACTTGGGAAATATACAGTGGATTTGCACGAATGGACGTTCGGTAGATAGCTGGGGTCTGAGCGCATCATTCGTGAGACTACCGCTCAGATCCCAGCTAAAATAACCGAAAGCCGCACGAAAAACACAATTCGTATAAAACATATGAAAAGAACCGATTGCTTGAAGGGAACAAAATACCGAATGTCCCGAAACTCCCGAACGCCCTGGAGGCTCAGCGGGGCTCGTGCCGTCGAGTAGCCGTTTTTAGTACCAGGCACTCGACGGCATAACCCCGCTGAGGGAACAAAGGGTCCAAGATGGCCGACCGCCGCATGGTCGGTAGTCGAACGACGGCCACCCAGGAGAGCCTCTAATAACCGATTGCAACAATGTTGCAATCGGTTAATTAGCGCCACACGCCTCTAAGTGTGTGGGCTATTAGGGGGATATCGCGTTCGGTTCACGAACGGCCCTCCAAAGTGCCGTTCGTGAAACGAAAGGGAATCCCCATTCAAACCGCCATTTGCATTCGGCGGAACAGACAATTACAGGTAATGCAGGGAATACATGAAGCAGACACATACAGGTTAAACGCATATCTCTCCAGACCTATCGGCAACCCTTAAAGGCATAGTGTCCAGTTATAGTCCGAGTGGCTAGGTTTGCCACAATGCTCCCACAGAACCAAGCCGGCATACACAGTCTGATCCCAACGGATCGGCTTGGGGATGTCCGGAGGAGTACTCACGAATCACGGCTCCAAGTCTGTTTGTCTAGACAACCCGTCGGCGTTGCCATTTTGCTTCCCAGGGCGGTAGTGGATAGTCAAGTCAAAAGGCTGCAGCGCCAAACTCCAGCGTAGCAGCCTGGCATTGTCTCCGGACACCCTGTTCAGCCACACCAACGGGTTGTGATCCGTGAGTAAAGTGAAGGGTTGCCCGTATAAGTAGGGTTGCAACTTTTTGAGGGCCCACACCACAGCCAGGCACTCCTTTTCAATGGCGGCGTAGCTTACTTCCCTGGGTAAAAGTTTTCGGCTTAGATAAGCTACGGGGTGCTCGCCGCCATCGGGTCCAACTTGGCTCAGTACTGCTCCCAATCCAAACATAGAAGCGTCTGTGTGGACGAGAAAGCGTTTAGTTGGATCGGGAGCAGAAAGTACAGGAGAGTTAACAAGCGCCGTCTTGAGCTGTTGGAACGCCTGCTCACACTCTGGGGCCCAGACTACTAACTTAGGGAGATTCTTGCGGGTCAGGTCTGTGAGGGGTTTGGCAAGGGCGCTATAGTTGGCCACAAATTTCCGGTAGTACCCGGCGGTCCCTAAAAAGGCGAGCACTTGGGTCTTGGTGCGAGGGGTAGGCCATTGGGCGACTGCCTCTATTTTAGCAGGTTCGGGTTTCTGTTGCCCACTCCCTACCCGGTGCCCTAGGTACTGGACTTCCGCCATACCTATATGGCATTTGCTGGGTTTTAGGGTCAGTCCGGCCTCTCGGATTTGGTCTAGAATGGCTCCTATGTGAACCAGATGTTCGTGCCAGGAGTGGCTGAATATGGCGATATAATCTAGATACGCGCAGGCATACTCCTGGAACCCATCTAATAATCTGTCCACCATTCTCTGAAAGGTAGCTGGAGCGTTTTTCATCCCGAATGGCATGACCTTAAACTGATACAGGCCAAACGGGGTGACAAAGGCCGACTTAGGGATGGCGTCTTCTGCTAATGGAATCTGCCAGTACCCTTTGCACAGGTCTATAGTGGTTAGGTATTGACCCCTGGCCATCTTGTCGAGGAGCTCGTCTATCCGGGGCATGGGATATGCGTCAGAGGTCGTTTTATCGTTGAGCCGTCGGTAGTCTACGCAGAAACGGGTCGTCCCTCCTAACTCTATCACTCCTAACTGAATCATCTCCTCAATTTCCTTGCGCATACTTTCTTTGACTGCTTCTGGCGTGCGATATGGGGGTTGGCGCAAGGGGGTCTGATCTAAAGTTTCTACCTTATGGGTAGCCAAAGGGGTATAGCCTGGTAAACTGGAAAACGTGGCCTTCTTTTCCTGAAGCAACCTTTGTACCTGGGCCCGCTCTTGGGCATTTAAACGTTCTCCTAACTGTACCTCTCCCAGATCTCCGCTCTGGCCCTCTTGGTCTAGGAGATCGGGTAGGGGTAGGTTATCAAAATCTTCTGTGGCAGGGGCACAGATTGCGGTGACTTCCTCAGTACGTTCATGGTAGGGCTTGAGCATGTTCACATGGAGCATGCGTTTGCCTCCCACGCCGGTAACCGGGCCGATCACATAGGTGGTGTCACAGATCTGTTCCACCACTCTGTATGGGCCCTGCCAGGAAGCCTGCAGCTTATCTTTGTGGACTGGTCGCAAGATTAGGACTTTCTTCCCCACCTGGAACCTGCGGTCCCTGGCTCCCTTATCGTACCATCTGCGCTGTCGCTGTTGCGCTACCTGGAGATTGTCTCGGACGGTCTGGGTCAGCCTCTCCAGGCGTTCCCTGAACTCGAGCACATATGGTAAGATAGGGGTGCCATTAATGGTTTCGTCTCCCTCCCAGTGTTCCCGTATCAAGTCAAGAGGTCCCCTCACTCTCCTCCCGAATAATAATTCGAACGGAGAGAATCCGGTGGATTCTTGCGGCACTTCTCGATACGCGAACAGTAGGTGGGGTAGAAACCTCTCCCGGTCTTTTTGGGTGTCCATGAACGTGCGGATCATTTGTTTCAGGGTTCCGTTAAACCGTTCACAGAGCCCATTGGACTGGGGGTGATATGGGGAGTTGAGGACTTGTTGTATCCCACATATTTTCCAGAGCTGATGGGTCACTTCAGCAGTAAACTGGGTGCCTCTATCGGAGATAATCTCCCGGGGAAATCCTACCCGGGTGAATATTCTCATCAGGGCCTCGGCTACCGTTTCTGCGTGTACGTTAGTTAGGGCCACTGCCTCGGGGTACCGGGTGGCATAGTCCACCACGGTTAGGACATACTTCTTGCCGGAGGGGCTGGGTTTGGCGAGGGGACCTATGATGTCTACTGCCACCCTACTGAATGGTTCTTCAATGATGGGCAGAGACCATAGTCGTGCTTTGTACCTGTCCCCTCTCTTGCCTACCCTTTGGCAGGTATCACAGGTCTGACAATATCGCCTAACATCCTGGGAAATACCTGGCCAAAAGAAATTTTGGGTCAGCCTGTGCTTGGTCCGACTGATGCCTAGGTGTCCAGACAGGGGGATATCATGGGCTATGCGTAACCGCTCTAACCTATATTTTTGGGGCACTATTAGCTGTTTAATGGGCAACGGTATGGACCCGGACACTACCTTCTCTGTGTGCCGATATAGGAGTCCCTTGTCCCAGATATATCTTTCCCCCTCTAACCCGGCTTGATCTTTATCAATGCGGTCTTTGTATACCTGTAACGAAGGGTCTAGGGCCACTTCGGCCCCGAACTCTATGGAATTGGCCAAGGGCATGATAGGGGGTAGGGGAGGGTCATTGCTTACCTGAGCCTCAGAGTGATCGGATGGTGCTGTGGTGCGGGCTTGTTGCCGGGTCACAACCGGGTATGCTTCTTGTATGGTGGGCTGTGGAACAAAAGCTGAGGTCAGCTCCCCCAAGTCGTTGCCCAAAATCACATCCGCTGGCAAGTCTTGCATCATCCCCACATATACATTCCCGTGCCCCGCTCCCCAATTCAAGTGCACCTTGGCCGTGGGTACTTTGTAAATGGCTCCCCCAGCCACCCGCACAGCCACACAGTCCCCCGTGAGCTTGGGCTTTGGTACCAGATGACTTCGTACGAGTTAGGGTGGCCCCAGAGTCACGAAGTCCTTGTACTTTCCTCCCCTCCATGTGAACTTCCTGGCGGTGCCCTTGGCGGTTATCGGAGGCGGCCTGGATGGGGTTCACCTTGTGTAGGGTGCCGAGGGGTTCCTCCTGGGTTGTCCCCAGCTCCAGATTCTGGTAGGACTCGGCCTGTATACAGTGGACTGCGGCACGGTTGCTTGGGGCGGCGTTATTCCAGCTGGGTCGAGGCCTGTTCCGTGGGCAGTCTCTCTAAATGTGCCCCTGTTGGTTGCAAGTATGGCACCGGATGGGTTGACGTGCTGAATACCTGGGGGGGTAGGAATTCTGGCTTACCCCTGGTCGCTGGTGGGTTGCGGGGCCCCCTGGAGTGCTGGTCGTTGCAGGGGGGATGACGGCTCGGGTTGGTATGGGTTGATCTCTCCGATTGTCCTGGAACTCGTCTGCCATATTAGCCGCTTCCTGCAGGGTGTGTGGTTTTCTGTCCCGAATCCAGTTTTGTAGGTATGTCGGGACGCCATTGAAGAATTGCTCCAGTACCATTAGCTGGAACAGACCCTCCAATGTATCAACTTGGGCGGCCTCCAGCCACCCCTTGGCAGCTCGTTGCAGCTGGTGCGCCCACTCTACATGGGTGTCTTTAGTGGGTTTTTTAATGTCCCGAAACTTCTTTCGGTATGCCTCTGATGTGATGGCATACCTGGCTAGGATGGCCCGTTTTACTTTAGCGTAGTCTCTACTATCCTCGTCTGGTACTGCCCGGTACGCTTCAGCGGCTCGCCCAGATAATCTCCCCGCTAGTAGGGGTACTCTGTCTGCATTGTTAATCTCGTGCAGCAAACACAGTCTCTCGAAGTCCTGTAAATAGTCGTCAACGCCACCCTCTGTCTCCACATAGCTTTTGAAGGCTTGGTATGGGATTTTAGCTTTCCCTGGGAAAATCTGTACTGGCGTTGCGGCTCTTTCCCCGGCTTGCTGGTTCCCTTGCGGTCTCCTAGCCATAATGTACTCCTGTACGTCCCCGAAAAGCCTGTCAACCATCTCTGCAGATGGGGGTTCAGGGAATAAAGCCATTCGTGCTCGGAATTCGGCTGTAAATTCGTGGGTTTCTCCCTCCATTTGAGGTGCTGCAGCAGCTGCAGCTCTGTCTCCTTCCATGAGCTCTGTGATTAGGACAGCCTTTGCCTTGTTACTGGCGATTGCTCCTCTTGCTTCCAGCAGCTCCTTTAATGTGCTCCGTTTTAGCAGGGCGTAATTTGTTCCCATTCATCTGCTGTTCGTGAGGTTTATTCGAATGCGCTAATTCCCGAATGCCTGTTCCTTGATTCGTTTAAAAATCTGCCGAACGTTGCTTTGCTGTGTGTATTCAATCCCGTCGCTTGCCACCAATTGTAGCGGAGAGGCAGTATAATCCACGATATCTCCGCTGGGTAACAGGAACAACAAAGGATAATCCAGGGAATCAGCATAGAATAATCCAAACAGCACTGCAGTAACCCTTCCTTCCCAAGAACTAGACGACACATAGGCTGGGAGTCAACTGACAACCTTTTAATCGGCAGGACAATTTATACAAGTCCCCATGCAAGGGGTTTCCTGAGTCCCTCCCCATGGCCACTCCCAGAGGGGACTACATGGGGGACTTTCATTACAGCATATTTCTCCCATCAGGCACCGCTGCACGAGAGGGATCATCCTCCCAGAATGCACCGTTAAGTGGATTACCCCCTCGTGCAGCAGAACCGACAATTCACACAAAAATCCATAACTTGGGAAATATACAATGGATTTGCACGAATGGACGTTCGGTAGATAGCTGGGGTCTGAGCGCATCATTCGTGAGACTACCGCTCAGATCCCAGCTAAAATAACCGAAAGCCGCACGAAAAACACAATTCGTATAAAACATATGAAAAGAACCGATTGCTTGAAGGGAACAAAATACCGAATGTCCCGAAACTCCCGAACGCCCTGGAGGCTCAGCGGGGCTCGTGCCGTCGAGTAGCCGTTTTTAGTACCAGGCGCTCGACGGCATAACCCCGCTGAGGGAACAAAGGATCCAAGATGGCCGACCGCCGCATGGTCGGTAGTCGAACGACAGCCACCCAGGAGAGCCTCAAATAACCGATTGCAACAATGTTGCAATCGGTTAATTAGCGCCACACGCCTCTAAGTGTGTGGGCTATTAGGGGGCATCGCGTTCGGTTCACGAACGGCCCTCCAAAGTGTCGTTCGTGAAACGAAAGGGAATCCCCATTCAAACCGCCATTTGCATTCGGCGGAACAGACAATTACAGGTAATGCAGGGAATACATGAAGCAGACACATACAGGTTAAACGCATATCTCTCCAGACCTATCGGCAACCCTTAAAGGCATAGTGTCCAGTTATAGTCAGAGTGGCTAGGTTTGCCACACTGGATATTGGGGTCTCCCCCTCCAACATTGAGACGGTTACTGGAGGGGGTCTCCCCCCTCCAACATGGAGCCTGGTAGTGGGGGGGGTGGGGGCGGGCTTCCCCTCCAACATGGAGCCTGATACTGGGGGGTCTCCTGTCTTATAGTGTGTGTGGATACTGGGGTCTCCCCCTCCAACATGTAGACTGATACTGGGGGATGGGGTCTCCCCCTCCAACATGGAGACTGATACTGAGGGGGGGGTCTTACCCTCCAACATGGAGACTGATACTGAGGGGGGGTTCCCCCCTCCAACATGGAGACTGATACTCGGGGGGGTCTCCCTCTCCTGTAGTGTGTGGATATTGGGATCTCCCCCTCCTGTAGAGTGTGTGTGTGTGTGTGTGTGTGTGTGTGTGTGTGTGTGTGTATATTGGGGTCTCCCCTTCCTATAGTGTGTGAGTATTGGAGAAGGGGGGTCGCTCTTGTGTAGTGTGAGGATATTGGATGTGACTGAGATTGGATTGGCAGGAGATCTTTAATGATAAATTTATTTATGAAGGTTAATGAGAGCTGACATTGGGTGGTGAGAAGGGATTAAGAGCTCCCTGTTTGTAAGAAATTGGGGCTGCTGTGTGTCCATTTAATTTACTATTCTCTAATCCACTCATTCCCTTTGAGGGCGGCTCATCCTGCTGATGGCTTTTAACCTAGTTGGGCTGTCTCGGCACGGTTTAACACAGTGTAAGCTTCTTAACTGTCAGTGCAGCAGGTGGCTCTGTTGAACACGTTCCAGTAAGTGCTTTTCTTTTGACTGTCCGTTGCTGTCTCTGGGGCCCTCTTCATCCAGTCTCACTGGGACGTTAGTGATATTGGCGGGGAGCTGAAACCCCACAATTGAATATGTAACAATGTAGAGACCTAAGCTGACAGTCCCATTCAGCCATCTGTACTTGGTTCCCATATTTGTGTTGGCATCACATCCCCTGGCACCGTCTGTGATTTTTATTTTATGATTAATCCCGGCACAGGTAATTACTAAGATTTTTCTTGACTGTATTCTAAACCCATCGGGCTACTTGGGTATTTTGGAGTCCAGCTTGCAATTCCCAGGTTGATTTCCCACAATCCCTACTTTATATCGTAAGAATAACTCTGGGGGCTTTTTTTACTAAAGGGGAGCAAGAGCTGGGTGTTGTGATGACTGCGTTGCTATTCTCGCTTTTTTTTTTTTACATTTTTTTCTTTTTGATAGAATAGTTCTGATATCTTTGTATTGGATGAATAATTGTCTGTCTGAAACTGTATTTGTAAATAAGGTTTGTGGTATCACTGTGTGTGTTCATCATTTTGTTTCTTTGACAATTTATGTATTGTCTGCACTCTGCAGCCAGTCAATGAATCGTCAGAGCTAATTCTTTAGGAATTGCTGGCATAATCCGCCTCTGTAGGATTTTTAAATCTGACACTTCTGTCTTGTTATATATGTTGGGCAGCCAGTACGCATTTCTTATTGTGATTCCTCAGGCGACCAAGACTAACTGTAATTTTAGAGCGATCGTTTGCAGTGCTACAAATCCTAAGTCTCTTATTAACCTGGTCCTCAGACTAGTTCAGATACTCCTGACAATTGCTAATTTTCTGTTTTTTCAAGGGACCCTCTTGGTTTCCCATTCTTCTGTTCTCCAGTCCCAAGTTTTAACCTTTCTACCCCATGTAGTGTGTTTGCCTTATATTGCGCTGACTCCAGTTACTGACCGTAGGTAGCGCCCTGTATTCTGTAAGTGGGCATTATGTAACAATAACCATTGTGTGATTAGTACATTAAGTACTTTGTTCTTTAACCTAGATTGTACCAGATTGTCAAATGTACAAAATTAGAAGATAATTTACCTTTCTGAAATATCCTGTCTCCTTGTTCATTGTGAACTTATCACTATTCCTTAATGGTTACTTATGTATATGTCTGTTTTGGGGATACAACAAAAGCGTTTTTAGAAGAGCATTTCAGAATCCTAAAATATAGCCGGGTCCTCAAAATGAGACGTTTGGAATCCGTCTGCGGTAGAATCAATTGTGCTAAACCCATCCTGGCTTTTCTGTTTGTTCTCTTGATTCACCTCACCCACCCAGTCCTACTTGGTGTTTTGTATTGTGTTAAGAGATCATTAACCCCTGGTGTACGTGGAACAGAAATTGGAATGTAGTCGTTGTAGAGGATAAAGCAGAGGATGGGTAACTGGCACAAGCTTGTGCTGCACTTAACATTAGAAAACTTCCAAGCGAGCTTTGCTTAAATACTAATTTTAAAAAAGAAATGCATAATACATCTTATTTATTTTTTATTTTATTTTTTTGCTCTAGTGATAACCAAGTGAATACAGAGATGTTCTACAATACAGCTAGTAGGGCGATTGTCGTTGCCGTGTTAGGGAGTATTATATTGCTAAGCAACGTCTGATGATGCCCTTTGCTTTAATAGCTACAAATGTAACACTCCTATTACTAGTAATTCCAACGAGTTTGGGTGCTCAATCTCTGATTGCTGACATAGTGGCATAGGATCAGAGATTAAAAAAACATGGAATTGCTGCTTTACAGTAGCGCAGATACTTATTTTTTTTATTTTTATTTTTTTTTTGTCCTAGAAAACGGTACGGACATAAACCCAGGATGTCACCTGTCAGTTTGCCGCAAACCACACTGTCTCTAGCCAAAGCTGCAACGAGCGACATTACTTCTTTTTGTACAGATGATAATATGGAGCAGTGTGTGGCATACATAGAGCAGGTAAGCAATGCACAGAATGTTAAATATCTGTCTGAATTATAACCAAAAGGAATGTGATTGTAAAAAATAAAAACAGGATTTGGATTTCCTAACTGTGTTCCCCATTAATAAGGTTACCCTATGTGGGTATCCTGGGTAATGACCCCTGTTGTGCTATTTTGTTTGTGGGGGGGTGTATGCCCTGAAGATATTCTTAGATGGCATTATTGCAAATTGCCTGGTAGGTAGCTCCTATGCCCACACCTGTCTGTATGCATGCTCTCCATTTTACATCAAAAGCAGTTGTACTTTCTGATTAAACTGACTTCTCTGAGAGAAGCGTTGAATCCATTGCTTCTCTGTGAGAGACATTGAAGATGCCAAATATGAAGACCATTAGAGACTTTTCCTCATTAAGATCTGTCGTGCATGTTCTCTTTCCATTTTTCGCAAAACAGTCCTGTTTATATTTGTCAGGCTCCAGGGACAGTCTATGCACCAAAAACATTTTGGTTATATGGAGTATTTTACAGACACATGCAGTGACTGAATTGTTTGTTCCTTTTCTGCTATGTTGACATTGGTGAGATACTTTCTTGGAGCCAGATGTGAATACATACAATATTACGTCTCCTTTGTCAACATTGACAGATATGGCCATTTTTAGTCTGGTAACTAAACACAATTTAATCTGGTTAAAGGCCACTTCCAAAACATTGGGGTGCTCAATAGAGATGGAGTGATGGGCCTTTTCCAGCACAAGCAAGTTTAGGGGCAGTCTGTGTGCCAGTTTCTTTACATGTTTGTTATATTGGGAATGTTTTTCTTAATATAGTTTTTTCCTTTTTGTTAATTTCTTTGCATTGCTCCATAAGCCCACCCGGGGGAGAGGTGGGGGGATTTAGTGGAATTAACTTTTTTTTTTTAAATATTGGTTGAGACTGTGGATCCATTACAAGGACACCTCACAATGCATCTCACCTCTTCAGAGCTAAAAACTTTCACTAGCCATTTGCTGTGGGCAAGTAGGCCTGTCCCAGGTTAATTTATCAGGATTGCACCTTCCAGTCTGCTCTCATTGTTTAATCTCTCTGACTCACACATTAAACTACTTCCTTCTGTCTTATTGATTAGGAGCTTACAAATTTAGGCTTCCCTTCTTTACAAACTGCATCCAAAAACGGAGAAGGAAAACAGCTGAATGTGGTTTCAATTGTGAATTGTATTCATGAGTTACTGCAACGTCACTCCAGATACCTGCGAGGCAGAGAGGAAGCCGAAATGCAACTTCTGAAAGTAAAAAGTGATCTGGATCATCTGCAGAGCATCCACTGCAGGCAAAAAGTGAGAGTCCACATGTCCTCCTATAGTCTTGTACATGTAATAACTGGGCAAGTGCTTCAGGTGTTTACTAATAATATTGCGTGTACTTGGTATCTGGCAAAGTACTTCTACTGGGGCCAGTAGGTAATAAAAGTGTGATCTCTGTTGCACAATTTAAGTAACAAAGTACATTTAGCCTATATCTGCAAATAGGATGGAGGGGTGTTTAGTACTGAAAGACCTTGTCTTTCTAAACCTCTGCATCTTTCAAATTAATAGCACATGGTGCAGATTGGTATCTGTGTCATTCCACCCTGAGCTTCCATTCACACAGACCATTCCTATTGCCCCCTCATCGCAGCCAACAGCTCAGCGTTCAGGCCTGTAATTTAAATGTTGCTTTGACAAATGAGTTTGTTTTTCCCAGGATCAGCTCGAGACCACTCGCAGAGAAAATGCTACCCTGCAAGAGCGTGAACGGCAGGCCCAGTGTAAGAACAGGAGCCTGTTACAGCTGCTGAAAAATGAGAAGGAAGAGGTACAAGCTGGGCTCAGGTTAAGGAACCATAATTAATTTACTGTTCATGGCACTCTGGCGGGGAGGGCTCACTGAGGTTAGGTGGAAGCACCACAAGGGTTAAATTACTTTGCATCACGGCTGTAGCTGAGCTCTGTTTGAGGCACCAAGGGGTTACATAGTAATGCATTGCTTTAGCTTTGAGAGGATTGCCTCACTCTGCAGGCTAAAATAAAATTAGGGGTGGGGGGGCATTGATCTAACCAATCGGTGTCCTATCCCTAGGAATGCTTGAAAAGTGTGTTGCGCATGCCTGAAAGATTTATACATGTGCAGTGCATGCTGACAACAGATGGGTTGTTTTTTTTTATGCACCAAATTGACATTGGGCAGTCTGGAACAGACTTTTGTGCTGCCTAATGTCATACTGGGGTCAGCTATTTTCCAGCACACAATTAACAATAACCCTGGATGTGCAGAGTTTCAACCTGATCCAGACTCTTATCACCATGACCACTTCAAAAAGACGAATGAGTCCTGCTGGTTGGAGTAACTCTGTAATAGAAACTATACTGTATGTTTATTAGAGAGGTCACTGTCCGTTATCCACTAAACTAAGAATTCAAAGGAAATTTCACATTTTAGGCCAAAATAGCCTAAGCTGGAAGCAACCCCACTATTTTTACCTGTAACGGCACCCCCAGGCATAAAAGGGCTTAAAAGCCGCTTAGTAGATATTCCCTTCCAGAGACACAGGCACAGCTACTGTAGACACCAATACACCGAACCAGAGAAGCATTTGAATGCTCTCAAACATACGAATGCTGTAAACAGCCGTATAGGAAAAACCATACGAATAGGTTTACACTCCTAGCAGTCAAACTGGAACAGCATACAATAAATCCCTCCCCCCCCTCCCCCCCCCAAGAACGAGACAAGGCTCCGTTTTGGGGGTCAAGCAGGAACAGACAGAGCTGTGGGTTTATTGTTCTTATATACACATTCTTACACATTAGGACCACCCACAGGGTTTTGGAAAACAACCAATAAACACGTACAATGCACTCAGACACTCCTCCCCTCTGCCTGTGATACAATTACCTTACACAATGGGTAATGTAATTATCACAGGCAGAGAAATACAGTTTTTCCACATTATTCATAACTTGAAAAGTACGCATCACATTCACAAACATTTTCAGACTCCGCATACTCCAAATACAAACATATGTCAAAATCATCCAAATTGGTCCATTGGTTCAAAAGATAGATCATAGTCCTTTGTGACCAAATGAAGCATGGCTTTTCTGCCCAAAACCAGTTCCACAGAGTCTTCTATCCTGGAGATAATTGGGAAGTAATCCAATTATCTCCAAGGACAGAGGCAAAACTCCATTGAACACATGGCAGCAAAAAACCATAAAATACATAAAAACATATAACTGTGCAGCCATTGCACAAAACAGGTACATTCAACATATCCCCAGATAGCTCAGATCTGAGCGCACATTATTACTGAAGGGTGCTCAGAGCACACACATACAGTATAATTGCCATGGAGCCAAAGTCTTTCCCATAGTCTTTCATTATACGAATGGGCTCCATGGCATAGCTATCTGGGGTATCACCGCTCCAACAGGGCAAGCACCGAATGACCCGGCTTTCGTGTCTTTGCAGGGGGAAATCAAGCATTTCAACATGGGGCCATAGTCAAAAGGCAGCAGACGGGCAACCAGGCTCCTCCAATGCACAGTGGCGAGATTGGTCTTGTCACAATACCTTTTTAATATCAGATTCTCATTTTAGTGAATAACGCGGTCACTGGTCAGTTTGTGTGTGTTTATTTTATTCCAGTTTCAGAAGCTGCAGCATATCATTGCCAGTCGTTCTACTCAATATAACCACAATATGAAAAGAAAAGAGCGAGAGTTCAACAAACTGAAAGAGAGATTGTATCAACTTGTGATGGATAAAAAAGACAAGAAGATCTGTGAGTTACTGTTAGAAATTAATATAATCACAGGTGTGCCCCGCTCGGCACCAAGGTTATGCTGCATGTTACAAAGAGTTAATCATATATTAATGCACCGAGCCTGAAAGAGTTAGTTAAACATACATTTTGTAGTACATTGGGGGATATTTATTAGTGTTCTGGAACGTGGCGGTTAAGTTTTCCCCTATTTTGACCATGTTAACATTGTCTAAAAAGTATATTTTCTTTATAGTACATTTTTGCCACATTGAACATATCCGAACAAGCCAAGCTAGGTCCCAGGGCAGCTATCGCTATTTTCCTTCATTAAAGGGACACTATAGGCACCCAGATTACTGCATCTTATTGAAGTGGTCTGGGTGCATTCTCCCTGTCCCTCTTAGTCCTGCAATGTAGAGAAACTGTAATGTTTATATTGCAGAACTAGGACTGTGCTTTCCGGGAGTTCACCAGACTGTAGGTTGCTTAAGTGACGCTGGACATCCTCACTCTCTGCATTAGGGCATCCAGAGTCCGTGAAAACATTATAGGAGAGCATTGAGTCAATACTAACCTATGGGGAGGCCCTAATGCACACATTCTCAAAGAAGGTGCAATGCCAATGGATATCGGGAGCGTAAACAAAAGTGTTGTGTTTGCATCTTTACATGCCAGGGGGCATGTAAGAAGACACTTTATTATAGAAGTCCAGCAAGTACTTGGCTCAGCATCTGGCAACTTCATCGGAATGCCAAGTTGACCATTCTACAGTCCGAAGAATAGAGAATATCTGCAATAATATACATTGCCCATGATCAAAGACGGTTCGGCAAAACCTGAAATGTGTTGCAAGCATTTACTGCATTAACCGTCACAATTTTGGAGTAAATTATGCACTGTGCATAACACCTGCATTCTCGTATAGTTGAGGAGTTCACTTCTGTTGGTTCTGCATTAGAAGAAATTCCACATGTAAAACTATTCTTTAAATCCATATGGAGGAGAGCATTTTATGTTTTGTTTTTGGTTTATTTCAAGCGATGGATGTCCTGAATTATGTGGGTCGAGCAGATGGAAAGCGGTCCGTTTGGAAGACCAGTCGTACTGAAGCCAAGTAAGTGAGTGATAACATAACACAGAGGATACTGGATGCAAGAAAACGGGCACTTTTACTTGGTGTTCTTTATTTCTAAGGAATGAAGAGGAGATGTATAAGGTTCTGTTGAGTGACTATGAGAAACGACAAAAAGATCTCCTGATGGAAAACGTGGAACTTAAAAAAGTCCTTCAGCAAATGAAAAAAGAAATGGTGTTCATTCTGGGCCCACAAAAATATCCCACTGTGGACCATGCAGAGGACAGCTTGGGAGTGGTAAGTCTGCTACAGACTGCATCGTGTTAAATCACTTTAAATTGATAGTCACTCTCCTCCGTTAAAGGAAGATCCCTACTTCCTCTCTTCCTGTCGTGAGGGTTTATAGGAACACCCCATTTTCCCATCTTGTTAAAGTGGAATGGCCACTTCTCTGGTAACTACATTTTTGAAAATCACCCCTCTCTGTGCTGTAGCAATGACTAATATGGAGCGAAGAAGTAGTTGCCCTGTGATAGGATAAAGAGATTTGGATTTCTAAATGTGATTAAATATTGGTATAAGTAAACGTAGTTATAAAAATAATCATGAGAAGAAATATTAATTCTCTAATCCCATCCTCTCTTTAAAGAAGTATCCTGGTACCGTCTCCTTATTGAAGGAATGTCCCAGGACCCCCTATCCCCACAATCCATGTTTTAATGGCATCTCTTTAGCCATTTTCTTATTGTGCGAATAATTGAAAGCATTCATATTCAGTTTAGTGGCAGATCTTGTGGTTTGTTCTTAGTCCCAGGTCCTTTCTGATGTCGAAGATGTTGCTGATTCTAGTAAAGAGACCATATCCGAATTATCTTGTGAAACTGTGCGTGCACAACTTATTGATAGCATCCGGCAGCAATGGCGTATAGTTAAAAACCACGTGGAGAGACTGGACAGCCAAGGTAACCACCATTTATCCATTAAAACCTTCACGTAAACATGGAACCAGTACTTTGTGTTTGCTAAATTGCTGGTACGTGTATTGTTTGAAAGATTCAAGTAGGAGTTTTCATCACTTAAGCATGGAGATATTCTTATTTGAATAGCACTTTACCATACTACAATAGGTTTCTTTAACAACCAATAACTGACCGACCGAAATGAATTAATCCCTGCTAAAAGGAGGGGATAAAGGAACACGAGGGAGAGTTTCTTACATATGATGTGTCCGATGATCAGTAAAGGTGCTACATATAATGTGTTGGATGATCAGTAAAGGTGCTACATATAATGTCTTGGATGATCAGTAAAGGTGCTACATATGATGTCGGATGATCAGTAAAGGTGCTACATATGATGTTGGATGATCAGTAAAGGTGCTACATATGATGTTGGATGATCAGTAAAGGTGCTACATATGATGTTGGATGATCAGTAAAGGTGCTACATATGATGTGTTGGATGATCAGTAAAGGTGCTACATATGATGTGTTGGATGATCAGTAAAGGTGCTACATATGATGTGTTGGATGATCAGTAAAGGTGCTACATATGATGTGTTGTATGATCAGTAAAGGTGCTACATATGATGTGTTGGATGATCAGTAAAGGTGCTACATATGATGTGTCCGATGATCAGTAAAGGTGCTACATATAATGTGTTGTATGATCAGTAAAGGTGCTACATATGATGTGTTGGATGATCAGTAAAGGTGCTACATATGCTGTTGGATGATCAGTAAAGGTGCTACATATGATGTTGGATGATCAGTAAAGGTGCTACATATGATGTGTTGGATGATCAGTAAAGGTGCTACATATGATGTCGGATGATCAGTAAAGGTGCTACATATGATGTTGGATGATCAGTAAAGGTGCTACATATGCTGTTGGATGATCAGTAAAGGTGCTACATATAATGTGTTGGATGATCAGTAAAGGTGCTACATATGATGTTGGATGATCAGTAAAGGTGCTACATATGATGTGTTGGATGATCAGTAAAGGTGCTACATATAATGTGTTGGATGATCAGTAAAGGTGCTACATATGATGTGTTGGATGATCAGTAAAGGTGCTACATATGATGTCGGATGATCAGTAAAGGTGCTACATATGCTGTCGGATGATCAGTAAAGGTGCTACATATGTGTTGGATGATCAGTAAAGGTGCTACATATGATGTCGGATGATCAGTAAAGGTGCTACATATGATGTTGGATGATCAGTAAAGGTGCTACATATGATGTTGGATGATCAGTAAAGGTGCTACATATGATGTGTTGGATGATCAGTAAAGGTGCTACATATGATGTCGGATGATCAGTAAAGGTGCTACATATGATGTTGGATGATCAGTAAAGGTGCTACATATGATGTTGGATGATCAGTAAAGGTGCTACATATGATGTTGGATGATCAGTAAAGGTGCTACATATGATGTTGGATGATCAGTAAAGGTGCTACATATGATGTGTTAGATCGGATGTACCAGAGGAAGAATAGATGGAAAAAGATAAATTCAGTTTTAAAAATACTTTGTTTTAGAAAAAAAGAGATGCCATCCAGTTAGTTCAGTGGTTAAAGTGGGAATACCTGTATAGAATTAATGATATTCACTCCTTCAATGTAGAATGTGCTTGTCTGTTTGCAGCTTCTATTGTACAAGTGACATCCCCAGATTTGAATAATTTAATTTCGAGGGAAGATCATGAACAAGAGGTTGAAAAACTTAAAGAAGAGATTCAAAGATGTAAAGAAACCATTAGAAATCAACAACACCTCTTTCAGGTAGACACTCTGTTTGCTTCATTTTACTGTAAGGTCCTTTCTTCCTTCTCTAAGTGAGCAGGGTTTGCTGTGAGAGACCCTCTTAGTTAAAATGTCATGGGTGGGGGTTAGAGGGCTTTTCAGAGTGCAGAGGAAACATTCCATTGTCCGTTACATAGTTGAAGAGACACATGCATCTATATAGCCTTTTTAAACATGCTGTTGACCCAAAAGAAGGCAAAAAACACCAGTTAGATGCACTTCTAATTTAGCAACAAGCTAGGAAAACCTTCCTTCTTCACCCCAGAATGGCAGTCCGATATCTCCTTGGATCAAGAAGCTATTACAAATTATATCACTGCTTTTGCAAGTATTTATCCAATTGCTGTGTATTGCAGAGAATTCCATATCTTTATTGTTTTACTGTTAAAAAAAACAAAACAAAAAAAACCTTTCCTTTGTCTTAAACCTAATCTCCTTTCTTCAAGTCAAAATAGGTGACTGTGTCCTAGGTATAGTACTGTTTCTGAATAGATTTCCATACAGTGGCTTGTATTGGCCCCCGGATATATTTGTATAATGCTATCGTATCCCATATAAGGCACCATTTTTCTAAACTGAAGAGGTTTCAATTTGTTAACCTTATTTCATACATAAAATGCTCCATTCCTTTTTATTAAAGGGATTCTATAGTGCCAGGAAAACAAAGCTGTTTTCCTGGCACTGTAGCATCCTGCAGTGCCCCCCCCCCCATTCCGTGCTACTTACCTAGCTTACCTGAACTCAACACCTATGTCACTCGGCGATGAGTCATTCTCCAACCTGATGCGCATGTGCGGCAATGGCCGCTCTCGCCTTAGGATTTCCCCATAAGAAAGCTTTATTCAATGCTTTCCTATGGGGAGAAATCTGACGCTGGATGTCCTCATGCAATTCCGGAAGTCCTTCTAGTGGCTGTCTGGTAGACGGCCACTAGAGGAAGAGTTAACCCTCAGAGGTAATTATAGCAGTTTATCTGTACCTCTGCAGGGTTAAGGAACATGGGACATTGCACCGAGACCATTCCAATGAGCCGAAGTGATCTGGGTGCCTACAGTGTCCCTTTAATTTTGTAGCCCACCTCTGCACTTTTTCTAGTGCTCAGAATTGTACAGCATATTCAAGATGTAGTTTTACCAGTGATGTTTATAAAGAGGCAAAATGATATTCTCATCACGAGAATTAATACCCTTTTTCATTTATGCATACCTTACTGGCCTGAGGGACACCACTTGCCACCTCTGTCCATCTTGAAAATGTACCATTAATGACAACTAGTCGTACTCTAATTTTTTAAGCCGATGTTCTAACCAAGAACAAGAATTTCCATCTACACCAAATTCCTTTAGTTGGAAGACTAACCTATTGTGAGGAAGCGTAGCAATCGCCTTGTCAAAATCCAAGTAGATCACATCCACGCCAATACCCTGATCTATGCTTCTTAGTTCTTTGTAGTTTTAAGAAGTCCCAGTAATCAGATGCAGGTACTTCTTACATATATGTAGGGCAGGTACCACTAAACCCATGAAAAAAATGTTTAAATCTCTAGATCCTGTCTCCAACAAAGTCCTCCAACAAAGTCCTCTAGTCCCAGGAATGGGCTAGCGAGCTAGTCGCATGCTCTATGGTTGCTATGGTAACTCCATAGCTGGCGCTGGCTAGGGTGTGTAGGAATGGAGTGACGTGACGTCATTCCATTCAGATGCAGGCAATAAAATCCAACGTGTCTGCGTCATGGAGGTTGGCCCTGCTTGAGGAAGGTTCCCTATTGTCACGGCTTACCTTAGTTGGCAGTCCGGTAGGCAGAAATTTATGCTCACCTTTGCAATTAAACACAGGCCAAGGTGGTCATGTAAGAATTCACCTGGCCTGTGAGTCTGTGCATGGGGGCTGTGCAGGATGTTGTTCCAAGTCGCAGTACAGGTAAGGACACAAGCAGGACAATCGTCGAGGGTAAGCCAAAGTCAGAGGATGCCAAAAGTCAAAATACACGATGCAAATAAGCCAAGGTCAGGAGCAAAACGATCTGGATACACAAACAGGAACCAGAGTCAATGAACTGACACTGCCCTCAGGGAGAGGCAGTGTCTTCTACCTGGCTAATCAGTGATGCTTTACAGTTGGACTACGATTGACAGGAGCAGTCGCAGGTTAAGTCCAGCCCCCAGTGCTGGAGACTTCAGGCCAAATCAAGGACCGAAGTGGCTCAGAGGCAGGAACGCAGGCTGAGAACCATAAAGCACCCAGGTTCAAATCCCCTGTTGGGCACTTCTGGGCCGACCTCGTCTAGATGAGAACTGTGACACCTATGCATGGCAAATCGGAGGAGTGCGTGCGGACCGTGTAAGTGTAACACCCACCTCTTTAATTAGATTGTGGTGGGGGAGCGCAGGGCCAGGTAAGACATGACTTTAGAGCATAACTATGCAAAGTTGTGGGGTTTTTTTTTTTATTTTTTATTTTTTTTTTACTGCCAATAAGCATTTAACTACTGTAATTTAAATCAATACGAACTGATGAGTCCCGTTTGATTCAACTCGTATAACATTCAGATTCTAGTGAATAACTCCATTAATAAAGATATTGAGTTTACTGAACACTCAGAGCGCAGCACACTTAAAACGCCAAAAAAGTACTTTGACAAAACGGTCATTGTACGAAACACTGTTGTGACGAGAGCAATCTCGCCACATTGCATTGGAGAAGCCTGGTTGCTCGCCTGCTGCCTTTGGACTATGGCCCCCTGTTAAAAGACATCTTTTTCACTGCAGAAAAGACTTATTTGTGCTTTTCTGCCCGGTGTTCGGTAGATTCTCGGATTTACTGAATGAACTCCTATAACCCAGATAGGTATGCCATGGAGCCTATTCATGTAATAAAAGACTTTGGCTCCATGGCAATTGAACTGTATGTGTTTGTGGTCTGAGCGCCATTCAGTATTAATGTGCGCTCAGACCTAAGCTATCTGGGCATATGTTGTGTGGCGAAACCTACCTCGCCACTGGGCATTGGAGAAGACTGATTGACAGCCTCCTGCCATGTGACTATGGCCCCTGGGATGTATTGCCCTTTAAAGACATGATTTGGGTATAATGGATTTGTGTTGTGCTGCTGCTAGCCCTTTTAAGAACCATCTGGTGACATACTGTGGAGTTACTGGGTGGCCACCATTTCCTGTATCAGAAGCACATGGTGAGAACAATGGATGGCGGCCATTTTAACTCACAGACACTGTGGACTTTTCAACACGGTGCCATCTCGCCAGTATTTGTTGCACAGAGACATCGTGCGGTGGTTTTGGACTATACAGCAGGGGACACATTATACAGTGATTGTTTTTATTTAGCCTGTATATGTTCTGCAGAATCTGCATTAAACTGTATTTTCCAAAGTACTGAACGGATCTGGGTGAATTTTGGATATGTGGTTCACCCAGATCCCCGGTTCCAATGATATACTTTTTATGGGGTTATTGCATGTTTTGGGGTCCCTGTGATGTGTTTTATGAAACTGTATTTCTCTGGGGAGGATTTTGTGTGGGAGTGTCTGGGTGTATTGTACGGATTGATTGGCTGTTTTGTAACGCCCTGTGGGCTGTACTATGTTTGTGGATTGGGAATAAAAGAGACTGTATGTGACAGTACAGGGAGTTCCTGTTTAACCCTCAAAGTGAAGTGTCGTCTCATTATTGGGGGAAGGATTCATTGTATGCTGTTCCAGTTTGACTGCTAGGAGAGTAAACCTATTCGTATGGTTCCTATTCAACTGTCTACAGCATTCATATGCTTGAGAGGATTCACATGCTTCTCCGGTTCGGTGGTTGTGGTGTCTGCTGCAGTGCTTGGAGTCCTCAGGAAGCGCTAGGAGCATCCTTTAACGGAGGTACCCAGTCGGGGTGCCAGGTAATCCGTTACATGTTGCATGTCTGTATTTTATGTCATAAATGTAACCTTGTGTATTTGATTGTATTTTACTGTCTTTTTGCTGCCATGTGTTCAATGGAGTTTTGCCTCTGTCTTTGGAGATAATTGGATTACTTCTAATTATCTCCAGGATAGAAGACTCTGTGGAACTGGTTTTGGGCAGAAAAGCCATGCTTCCTGTGGTCACAAAGGACTATGATCTATCTTTTGAACCACTGGACCAATTTGGATGATTTTGACATATGTTTGTATTTGGAGTATGCTGATTCTGAAAATGTATGTGAATGTGATGCATACTTTTCAAGTTATGAATAATGTGGAAAAATTGTATTTCTCTGCTTGTGCTAAATTACATTACCCATTGTGTAAGGTATTTGAATTACATGCAGAGGGGAGGAATTTGTGTGGGAGTGTCTGGGTGTATTGTATGTGTTTATTGGTTGTGTTCCAAAACCCTGTGGGTGGTACTAATGTGTAAGAATGTGTACATAAGCACAATAAACCCACAGCTCTGTCTGTTCACTGCTTGACCCTCAACACGGAGCTTTGTCTCGTTCTTGGGGGTATTTATTGTATGCTGTTCCAGTTCGACTGCTAGGAGTGTAAACCTATTCCTATGGTTTTTCCTATTCGGCTGTTTACAGCATTCGTACGGTTTCCTGTTCGACGGATTGGTGTTCTGCAGTAGCTGTGCCTGCATATCTGGAAGGGGACGATCGCCTAAACGGTTTTAACCCCTTGTGTGCTGAAACGGTCCGTTACAACTGTTAACTAGTCACACTCACAAGAATGGGACTAAAAAACAGTAAAATGACTGATAGACACTTCATATCCAATTATCCAGAATAGTCTCTCCTCCTGTGTCGGCACGCTGGAATCTGTAAAACCTGGACTCTTCCAATAACTCTGCAAGGAATGGACATGCTGAAATGGGGTAGAAGCTTGGGACGTGGTTGGCAACTTTATGCACCGTTACCCCCGGGCTGACTAACTGGTAATCTAGGTTGTTGGTGCTGCACTTATCGTCAGACCACAGAGAGATTTGGACTATGCTTTTACCTTTTTTGATATCGAGACTATTTTTATACATTTTTGGCACATCGAAGTTTGGATATTTGTCTTTATTGTCTGGATTCTCTTGAATTCCCACTCCTTTTTGTGTGGTAATTGTACTGTATTTTTTTATTTATTTTGGTTGAGTACTTTTTGCGACTGTTTTAAGCATTCTGCAGTTTTTGATTTTACTTTTTATTACATGAAATATATCCTGTATTTACTTAGTATCTAGCATCAGTTAACTAGTCCTATAAGTAATATATTGTTTGACACCAATTGTCAGCTTATTTTGTAGAACCGTTTCTCTGAAGTATAGATTTAACTAATACATGAATTGAGCTAAAATAAAGAGATCTTTTAATTTATTAAATATATAGATCCAATGTGCTTGCACTCCTGGTAGATAGTGGTTTGTTTGTGCCTGGTGCTGGTCTGACTAATTCCAGAATACAAGTAAATTGACTGCACTCAAAGGACTTCAGACCGGAGGAGGTGAGTATTAATAATGCATAACTTTTATTAATTCATATAAAATCAGTCGATGGTTCAGTCCCTCCTAGGGGACTTTCATCAGGGCAAATGAACCGCTGACTGATTTTTATAAGAATAAATAAAAATTAAATATTCTTAATGCCCACCTCATATATCTATATCCCACTCCCAGGCTGTCCAGCATCTTCAAAATCCTCACAGGAAAGCATTAATTCATGGCACTCGCCGTGCATGTGCATTAGGTTCCTCCATCACCATGATGTTGGAGAGGGAGGAGCCAGCACTGAGGGACTTCGGTGCTGGATTAAAGTGACAAAAAGGGAGGGGAGTTATCCCACTTCTTACTAGTTGATCACAGCGGACCTAAAGCTAGAGACCGGGGATTACTGTATACTGTTGGTAACACTGCTTTGTATTCTTAAAGCTATAGTGTTTAACAGCATGCTTCCAGACATGAAGACCTCAGAACTTAGAAGATCTTCATTAGGAAGCACCTCTACTGGAAGCGATTTATGGTGTATGAGTGTTCCTTTAAATCAGCACCTCTATGTGCTGTATATCTGCAGTTATTGGAGCTTTGTCTGATTTAAATTGGCACGTTGCCATCTGTGAGCTGTGATTGAATGTATACAATAACAGTGACCAGTCTCTTCTCATGCAACAGCAGATTAATGTGCCCAGCTATGACTCCTCAACAATCCTTCAGGACTGCTACCTTCTAGAGGATGGGGAACGTCTCCGTGAGGAATGGCAGTTATTCAACGAACAAAAGAAAAACTTTGACCGTGAAAGGAGGAGTTTTACTGAAGCTGCAATCCGACTGGGTCACGAAGTAAGGAGGGGTTTCTGCTATTAAACTGTTTAAATTCTTTACACTTCTGCTTTGCATGATTAGTCTATTCACCAGGTCGTATTCAGCCTCTCTTGACTGAATTTTTGTTTTTCAGAGGAAGACCTTTGAGGAGGACAGAGCCACTTGGCTAAAGCACCAGTTCTTGCACATGACCGTGTGTTCTGATTGGAAAAGCTCAGATCACGGTAAACCTCAAAGTGCCTTATTTAGTAAGTGTTAAGCATACATCGTGGCTTTCAGGCTTTACTTTTAATTGCAATGGTCAATAGCTGTAGCAGACTTGTTCCCCTCTCTGTTCGGTTGTCGTGCCCCCCTTATTTGTTTCCTGAACAAATAATAATTTCCCATTTTTATACCCACTGAACACGCAAATTAGCATTTGGCTCAAGAACTTTCTCTGGGTGGCTGCCATTCGTATACCTGAGCACACATGCTCTAGTGAATGGTGGCCATTTTGTCTCCCGAATGCAGGCAGTGGTACATAGTCATAAAGCGTCTGGAACCCTTTTCAGATACGAGATCCCTCGAACCTCGGTGAAAACTGCCTGTTCCCCTGCCTGCTCTGCTCACAGACGAGTCAGGAGATCCCTGTTCGGGAGAGAGATATTACCGACCAGGGGAAGCATTCATTGTTGTTTGCACAGGAAGTCCCGAAAGTTGACCGGCCGCTTGTCCTGTGTTATCCTGGATATAGATTATGCTCTAACAGGAGGAACCATCACTCGTTAGTACATTTCCTGATCTGTCTTTAATTCTGTGGGATTTATCTTCGGCCCAGTAAATCTGTGATATTGCTCAGGCACTTTAATTTTACAGAGCCCAAATCGTCACTATTAAAAGCCAGTAGGAGGTTGTGGATAATATGGGAAACTGGTAATATTACATTAGACTGATTTCTTCTCCAAAATTGGTTTCTTCAACCCGTTCAGGTATGGAGCAAGACCAGTATGTGTCACAAAATAAATATCCGCGCAAACCGCCCGTATGTCTGGGAGAATCTGTCAGACTGCTGCCGCCTGCCCCGTCCTCCAAACATCGCCAGCCACAGAGAGACAGGTAAAAACAGAGAGTAACACTGACCGCTACATGATCTAATGTACTGTATGAACAGAGCCAGTTCTACATTAATACACTGGTGGCAACAAAGAACTTTACATTTATCATGTGTTTTGCCTTTTGTAGCAAAGTTCTCTGGGTAGCTTTTTGTTTAATTCTCCTCTGCTCAGTCCTACTAAGTGGCTATGATTGACTGAAGTATAGTGCGGACCTTTCCAAATTAAAAACTCACCCTTTTTGGTCGCCGTAAGCTGTGTATTCCACCTCTTTCTTTGTGAATGGAAGCTTGGAATTGTCTTAGGGAAGTATTTGAATCCGATGGCTTTTAGTTTGCTGGGATAGAATTTAACTTTTATTTCTTTTTCACTCCCTTCCAGCTCTTCCAGAAGTCCTAATGCAGCAATTCCCTAAAGTGAGGAGATACCTTGCGGCCAGTTCATGCCGTCTGGATCCAAAAGAAAGGTTCCTGAGACTAGCACCTCTTTCTGTTACATGACTGTTCTTTTTCCTGATGAATATGTAACAGAATAACCTGTTTCCTTTCTCTGTGTCTCTCTCCTTTATTGTTATGCAATGATCACTGCCTGCTGTAAATATTAGACAAGGAATCAATTTTGGTAGATTTTATTTTGATAGTTAAAAATCTTTTTTCACAGCTGGTATTGCTATTTTGGTTAATGTCCACCTCTGTATGTTGGAGGTGTCTATAAGATTTTCCACTACGTATCCAAGTTCCTCTCAGGGTGTGATTTGCAAAGAAACCTAATGGCCTTAAAGCAATGCTAATGTCCTGATGCCTTTAGAAACTCCTGAGTGAAGGTTGAAATACCTTGACCTTCTGCTAAGTTTTATTTCTAAATGTCTTGCCAGATCCCATCTATCATTGTGATATAATAATGGATATGACTTGACTACAAATGTTTGCTGCCTCCCTTCCCGTATCACAAAGCACTTTTGGGGGGTGGTAAAAAAGCATACCACAATTTAATGCTCTTATTTAAATTGCTGCTTTCTTGATATCAGGACTTCATTCTTATTTGTCCAACATACTTGTGATTGTGAACATGCATTGTCCCCACGCTAATTCAGCAGCAAGGCTTCCCGGCTAGTAAATGGACCTATCTTATATTTTGACTGGCAGGTACCAAAAGTCTTACAAAAGAAGCCGATTTACTTTTATGAAACACTGTAAATTTCTGCCAGATTGGACCGGCTTCCTCTATCTTTGGCACCATAAATCTGGGCAACAATGCTGTAATCTCAGCAGCCCCCATATGGACGTCCCCATTGTGGCTCCTTGTTAGAAGTGTGTCCTCTGATTGCAGGTGGGAAGCAATCTGACAATTTCTTATCAGTTCATCTTAACTTGCGAAACATTCCTATGGCTTATCAGTTTGTGTTCCCTGTGTGTATGGAATAATTGTCTATATGCATTTTAAATACTCAGTGATAGCTTTTTTTTTAGATTTTTATTTTTACTCCTAATAATAATAATAAAAGGACTGTGTATTTTTTTTTGTTTTTGTTTCTTTAGCTTTTGTCTTTTTATTATTTTTTTTTATTCTACATTTGTGACTGGGCTTATGTGAGCTGTAGTCAAATTCATTTGTGAGGTTTTCTAAAGTCGGAATTCATCAAAGAACCCTATATTGCCGTATCCTTAGTGCAAAAGGGAAATGTTGCAGGTTGAAAAGTGAGTCAGAAAGATTAGGTTTATGATGCTAAAGTAATACTTTACCTGTAAACAATATGGTTGCACTGTGTAGGTTAGGTTACAGTTAGTTATACTGGGTGGGTTTATATTATTAAAGGGACACTCCGGGCTCCCACACACGTTAGATGCACTGTGTAGGTTAGGTTACAGTTAATTATACTGGGTGAGTTTATATTATTACAGGGACACTCCAGGCTCCCACACACGTTAGATGCACTGTGTAGATTAGGTTACAGTTAATTATACTGGGTGGGTTTATATTATTACAGGGACACTCCAGGCTCCCACACACGTTAGGTGCACTGTGTAGGTTAGGTTACAGTTATACTGGGTGGGTTTATATTATTAAAGGGACACTCCAGGCTCCCACACACGTTAGGTGCACTGTGTAGGTTAGGTTACAGTTAGTTATACTAGGTGGGTTTATATTATTAAAGGGACACTCCAGGCTCCCACACACGTTAGATGCACTGTGTAGGTAGGTTACAGTTAGTTATACTGGGTGGGTTTATATTATTAAAGGGACACTCCAGGCTCCCACACACGTTAGGTGCACTGTGTAGGTTAGGTTACAGTTAGTTATACTGGGTGGGTTTATATTATTAAAGGGACACTCCAGGCTCCCACACACGTTAGATGCACTGTGTAGGTTAGGTTACAGTTATACTGGGTGAGTTTATATTATTAAATGGACACTCAAAGTGTACAATACTCCAGGTGAGGTCTCACTAGTGTTCGGTACACTTCCCTCTCTCTACTGCTAATACGTCTCCCTATACAACAAAGCATTCTGCTTGGATTTCATGCTGCACTTTTACAGTGTCTGCCTACTGTGAAATCATCATCATTAATAATTACCCCATAATCCCTTTTTATCAGAAATTGAGGTTAGTAGAGTATGAAATATTCTGTACTCTGCCCTTGGGTTTTTACGTCCAAGATGCATTATCTTGCACTTATCCACATTAAATGTCAGTTGCCACAACTCTATTTTTCTAGATTACTTAAATAATTTGCCATTTGCCTTATCCCTCCTGGAACATCAACCCTTTTACATATCTTAGTATCATCAGCAAAAAGACATACCTTACCATCAAGACCTTCTGCGATATCACTAATAAAACATACTAAAGAGAATGAGTCCAAGTACAGATCCCTGAGTACAAAGACCTTGCTTTGATTATACTCCACTGACCACAACCCTCTGTTGCCTGTCACTCAGCCACTGCCTTACCGTATTCAACAATATTGGAATCCAAACTTTAAAGATTGCAGTTTATTGATAAGCCTTACTGAAATCTAGGTAAGCAATGTCTACTGCACCACCCTGATCTATTATTTTAGTTACTGAAGTGGAAAACAATCACTAAATTGATTATTTTGTGTATCTGCCCCTGGCCAAATTAAAGAAACAGTGCGTGCATGCTCCCTGAAGTAATTCACACCAGACACAAGTTTCAGGTTGATGAAGAACTTGTGGATTGTTTATTCAGGGGGGACGGCAAGTACCTTTTAAAGCAAAATTACATCATATGCATTGTCAGAGATAACCTGAAATAATAAATCATTAATTGGTTAGGTGTTAAGTGGTTCTCTTAATGCTCTGCCTACAAGGTGTGATGTCACTGGCATCATGAGGGTCTACCCCAGATTCCAGCGCCATCTTATTACACGAGTTAGTTAGTCGATGTTGGGGGTGGGGGGGACTCCTAGCGGCCGTTTTAATTAATCACATATAAGTAGAATAATGCTGATTATAGTTAGATGAGTAAATAGACATTTTACGAACTAAAAATTAGGTTAATATCTTATTTCCACAACAGTTACCCAATCAAAAAAAAATCAATAAGATTAGTTTGGCATGATCTCTCTGAAGTAAACCCATGTTGTCTCTGATCTTGAAATCCACGTGTTTTTAGATGTTCATCAATCTTATCCTTTAACATGGTTTCCATCACTTTCCCCACTATTGAAGTAAGGCTTACTGGCCTATAGTTGCCCGACTCCTCCCTATTACCTTTCTTGTAAATGGGCACAACATTCGCTAACTTCCAATCTTCTGGGACTACTCCTGTTAACAATGATTGGTTAAATAAATCTGTTAATGGTTTTGCTAGTACACCACTAAGCTCTTTTAATAGCTTTGGGTGTATTCCATCAGGTCCCATTGACTTATTTGTCTTTACTTTTGACAGTTGAAATAGAACCTCTTCCTCTGTAAACTCACATGTAACAAATGACTAATTTGTCCTTTTTCCCTTCATTCTCATCTGTAAATACTGAACAAAAATATTAATTGAGGCAGTCAGCTAGACCTTTACCCTCTTCTACATACCTTCCTTCTTTTGTTTTTAATCTAACTAATCCTTGTTTTACTTTCCTTTTCTCATTTATGTATCTAAAAATGTTTTGGCCCCTTTTTTTACTGATTGGGCTAGTTTCTCTTCTGTGTGTGATTTGGTTTTCCTCACTCTGTTTTTCTTTTCTTTTTTTTTTTTTCTTTTTTTAAATTATTAAATGCTAACATGTTTTTTTTACTATTTTGGCCACTGCTGCAGAGTACCGCAGTGGTTTCTGAATTTTCCTGCTCTTAGTGACAAGCCTAATGGAATTTTCTGTAACTTTTAAATAATCCCATTTCTCTTGAACTCCATTTAAACAGCTCCAGTCTGATAAGGACTCCTTTACGCATAATCTAATTTTAGAAAAGTCTGTTTTGCTAAAATCTTTAACTTTTGTCTATTTTTTGTGGTGTGACTCAATTATCTTCTATTAAACCACACTGACAGGTGATCACAAGATCCTTATTTTTTACTTGCAGTACACATTAGGTGTACGGTATAGGTTAGGTTACAGTTATACAGGGTGGGTTTATATTATTAAAGGGACACTCCAGGCTCCCAAACACGATACATGCTCTGTATAGGTTAGGTTACAATTCTACTGGCTGGGTCTATATTATTAAAGGGACACTCCAAGCCCCCACACACGTTAGGTGCACTGTGTAGGTTTGTTATAGGAATGCAAGGCTAAGAAGTACATAAGAGAATGGACACGGATTCCAGGAAACAAACATTGATTTATTTTCAACTGCAAATGTCTGTCAGTCAATAGTCTTGGAATAACCGACTGAGCAAGCGTTTACAAGAGAACAAAGAATATATACCACAAATGATGTATTCCGTACGTATACAAAGAATAAAAAAAATTACACCCACATTACAATTGTTACAACCAATTATTAAACTAAAACCTATCTCTTACATATCTTATTTTATAGTGGGTGTTTCTGACGTTCCACACATGCGCCCTGGTTCAAGATAGTTGCACAGTAGTTTTAACCATGTGTGTACTGAACTTTTCTTAAAAATCCTGTAGCTTCTGTCACATTCCCTCCTTTGATGCTTCAACACCTGGATACTGGTGGCTGATATGCATCATAACATAATACCATACCAATCTAGCAGTGGGTGCTAGGCAAGTGAGGTTACACAGTATCTTCTTGATTTAAGGGGTTTATACCCCCATAGGGCAAGTACACAATCTGCTGTTTTCCTTTCTATTGTAGCGTCAATTGTACTACAGAGGGAACGGAGCAGCAATGCAATCAAACATGGGAGTAGAAACCCTTCCACTAGAGTTTTTTTTTTTTTTCAAACCCTCCAAAGGATTCAAACCATCCTGTGAACCAACCAGTACTTGAACATGGGCTACTGTCCTTATTTTATCAACAATGTCACTTATTTTCTTTATCATCAATTTCAAGGCAAAAATTAGACGAATTTAAATTTTCCATACACCCCCTTCAGTGGCTAACAAATAGTCTAAAGCTAGGCAGTTCTGATAAATAGCAGACCGCATTTTGGTATTCTATTTGGCAAAAAGATTGAGGGCTTTTGCAGTTTCATTGGTCACAATCTCAACTACAGCTTGTAACCTGATTATTCGATTCAACATGTAGATAGGGGTACGACAACTATAAGTCCCATGATAAGCTCATGTAGCGGAACTATAGTAGTCAATTATACATTCAGGGTGTGACGAAATCCACTTCGCCACTGGTTTTTGGATACCCTTGTTTGCCAGGCTCCTAACCTGGGACTATGGGCCCTGTGATAACCCATGTTCAAAAGTACTGTTTCTGCCCCTTGGACTTTTAATTGGAACAGATTCAAACGTGGTGGCGGCCATCTTAAATTGTCCAGCAGTGTTTTGTCGTTGAGTGTATGGAACTGTTTTGGGCATGGGACCATGTGCACAGTGGGGCAAAAATAAGACTTCCAGGAAATTCCTGAACCGATCTGGATTATTTTTGGATATGTTGTTCACCCAGATTGGGGCTATCAGGGGATATGTTGTATTTTGGGGTTTGTAAAAATGTATGTTTTTTCTGTTTAGATTGAGTTAGCCTATTGTCTTTGCTAATTGTATCACAGGCAGAGGGGAGGGATTGTGTGCTGTAAGTGGGAGTGCTGGACATTGTTGTATTGTTCTGATTGATTTGTGTGCCTGTGTTCCATCAGGTCTAAGGGGTGTGCCTCTGGTCTGAGGAATTGTATATAAGCAAACCTGTACTAATAAAGCCTCAGACTAGTCTTGGCTCATGTTTGGGGGATTTGGAGAACTACCTACACCCCAGAGTATAATCACTAGCTCTTGTAAGAGCTGTTCCTGCTCTCTGGACTAAGAGAGGTCTGGAAGCTGGATCCTGGTCTTGGGTCCAGAGTGGGTGGAAGGCGGCGAGACCCCAACCAAGCTGCGGCGGTTTGTGGGGTCTGCGGTGGTTATGGTGTCTAGAGAAGTGCTTGGGGCCCTTGGGAAGCACTAGGAGCATCCGTCAACCAAGGTACCCAATCAGGGTGCCAGGCGATCCGTTACACAGGGGGCCACTTATTATTTTTCCATTAACCCAACAATGCCCTTTGCTGCCTTAAAGGCTATTCATACACCAAGGAACCAAGTGACTCGCCCTCCCTTAGGGAAAGGTTTCAAAGTTCCTAGAACACAGGCTCCCGACCAATCTCTGGGAAGTTTAGAGTAGGCCTTAAGGCCACAAAATCCAATACATATTATTAGGTGCTATCTAAGTGGACCCTGCAGACAAATTGGTTCCTACACCTTTTAGATGTTGGTAATTACCAAAGGGACTAGGCGATGGTTCAGATGCATTGGTTGCAGAACACCAGAAAGTGGTTCTATCAAAAGAATTCTACGTTTGCTGCCCTAGACACACGTGAGAGTACATACAAAAGTCTCAAATTCAGGACCAGATCTGCTTATGCACACATTCCCAATTATGGAGGTCATTAGCAACCATTAAAATTTTGGGTTGGGGTACTGTGTCTCCCCCTCTCCCTGCTGTAGTGCCAGCAAGTCTGTCTCACGTGCTTCCCAGGGCCACTGATCACCCATATTGGTGCCACCACATACATAGCAACTAGTTACATTTAGGGATCGTACTATGTTTTTAGCTAGGTCAAGGAACAAATTATGAGTGGTATGGGAATTTTCAATCTAGAATCCCATTTCTTCTTAAAAAGATTGAAAAACCTGGTGGGTCTCACTATTTAAGACTTCAATTTCAATATTCAAATGTGGTATGGTTCCCGGGCCTGTACTGGAAGCATATATCTGCAGACCATGGAAGGTGCCCCATTTGTATAGGAATATCAGGGGATTAAACAGTTCAAGGGGTTACAGGGGCCAGGACCACAACTAGCTGTGGCCGACATTGTCAGCAGACTCACAGATAGGGTATCTGATTTATAGGTTCCTCAACTCACACAACTTCAGTAGGAGCAATGGTTATACCCACCATCTATGCAATCCCTTTTCTTTGGGCACATCTACTTATTGTTTAACGTATGAGTTCTATCCCATGCCATCTCAGTACAGATAGGCTCAGGTCATTTATTCAATATTAATATCACCATAAACTCAAGATGAGCAGACGATCCTGAAGAAGCTTCAACCGTGGGTCGACACCTAAGCTCCCGAATGTGAGGGCTGCAGGGTAGGAGTACTTCTGATTCTGTTTGGCTGAATGAATGTTATCTTAAATTCTTACCTTTGGGGCTCCTCGGCTTTCCATCGATGGCAGGTGGTCAGGCATTATTATGGCCATCAAAACACCTACTTGTTTATATTTTGTCCAACAAGTATCTTTATTCGCTTAAAATGGAGTTTCAAAGGGTTGTCAGGATCAACAAACGTTACTTCTCATGGAGCAGAGGCAGGCTTGATTCTGGAGTGGTGAATCCACTCTCATCAACTTTTACGCTGTACTACTTGGCATGTGATCTCTCCTTTTTGGTGGATGTGACGGACCGCTGGCACTCCGACCGAGTACCTCTGCCAATCGATGCTCTTTCCACCATTAGCACTGCATACCCCACTTCCAGCGATGCAGCTGCACCGGGGTCTCGCCGTCCTCCACCCACCCTGGACCCAGCTATCAGTGGGTAGACCTCTCCTTTTCGAGAGAGCGTAGCAGGAATTTTATGTTATTATAGGGATATCCCAGGCTCCCACACATGTTAGATGCACTAAGTGGGTTTATGTTATTAAAGGGAAATTCAGCAGTTATCTAACATTTCATTAAATTACCTACACTAAGCCTGACGATGCCCACCCATCCTGTATTTTATTTATCTACAAAAACATGGCACCAAGCCTTCAGCGATGGCTCCATCATTTACTGTCATACACCCCATCCATATTCTTTCATTATTGTACTCTCATATGGTGTACAGTAAAAATATATCGCCCGGCTATTGGATATTACATATTGATATGATGCACCATGGGGTAAAATTTCCTTTTGTAGTTTGTAGATATGCTGTAAAACAAATTACTTTTTTTTTTTTCTTTTTTATGTACTAAAAGCTAGGCAGCGTGCATTAGAACATTAAAGAGAAATGGACACTCTTTTAGAAGTGACCGTTCTTCCGTTCTCTCACCAGTGCTGTGTTTACAGTAGTGGTTAATGCAGAGGAGGTAAGCAGAAACACACTAACCTGTACTGACTTTAGGCTAAAGGGACACTATGGGCACCCAGACCACTTCATCTCATTGAACTGTTCTAGGTTGGGTGTCCCTGTGCCCATTTGTCCTGCAACGTGAAACATGTATTAGAGTATCTGCATTGTTTACGTTGCAGTTCTAAGACTGCCTCTAGTGGCTGTCTGGTGAAACAATGCTGAACGTCCTAACGCTCTGCATGAGTAAGTCCAGCATCTTTAAAATCTCCATAGGAAAGCATTGATTCAATGCTTTTCTATGGGAAAGACCTAATGCACTCTGGACACTTGCTGCTCTTACACTTTAGGTTCCCCCAATCGAATGACGTCAGAGGAGGCTGAGTACTGACCCAGCGCCGAGGGACCTCTGTGCTGGAATTAGGTAAGTGAACAAAAGGTTATCTAACCCTTTACAATGATGGTAGGGGGCTGCAGGGGCCGAGGAACATCTTTATCTTTGTATTCCTAACCCTAAAGTTTTATTTTCTACACTGAAAAACTGTGTGCGCTCAGCATTTTCAATGCCTATATGTGCGCATTTGTTACTGCAGGGTTTTCGTATGTCTTGTTTGTTTCACTTTCACCTCTCAAAAACATAGTTGTCAAACAGAGATACGGAAATCTAATATTAAAAATGATTTAAAGCAAGGAATACATAGCTGCATCACATACCACAGGAATTCTGATTACAGTTTGATTTGCAGGCAAATATAAACATTTACATTTTGTTAATTTACACAATTTTATTTTTCATTTATTAATTTAGCCTGTATAAACATTTGTGAAATTAAAATCTTTTAGACAGTATAGAGTGTCCTTTATCTTGCAGTATTTTACACAGAGTTTGAAATGTTAGTATAGGGCCAAAATTAAATTTTTCTCACATAGGGTCGATGTGACAAAAAATAGATAAGTATAAAGGATCAAATTACTTATAGTTCTTTGTAAAAGCCCTGAGAGCATTACTAACAGTACAGCTTACTGAAAATGGCAACAGAATGTAAAAAAATGCCCACATACTGTAGAGACAGTTAAATATATTTCTAAAATAAAGGTAATGAAAACTGCTATAGCAATATTTTTCAATCTCTGGAATGTTAATTTAATGCTGACAGTAAAATAGTAGAGTACATTCACTTCTTCCTCCTCCCTGACTGCAGGACTGGTATGACCCATTGAAGTTTCCTGTACAGTTCGGAAGCAGGGGGTGAGCTGACATTTTCCGTGACTAGTCAATACCTCTGAAGCATCCTATTTAGGACATACAGTCCCTATTTTACGTTCAAGTCCTTATGCCCCTCTTTTCTAGGATCTACATATTGATGGTGTGTCTGAGTATATAACAGCTCTACAGCAATAATACTCCCAGTAATGTGTCTTTAAACTACAATAAATGCATTTAGAAATCAGTCCATGTAAATAGGATACATTGTTCTTGTTCTAAATAACATTTTACTTGTATGAATTGTTATTAGTTAGTGACTTCAAATTTCTCAGAACAGCCCTGCCCACACACCCCACTCATTCTCAGAACAGCCCCTCTCCCCCTCTGTTCACACCTACTCACACACAGAACAATCCCACCCCTGGCCACACCCCCACTCATTCTCAGAACAGCCCTGCCCCTGGCCACACACCCCACTCATTCTCAGAACAGCCCCTCTCCCCCTCTGTTCACACCTACTCACACACAGAACAATCCCACCCCTGGCCACACCCCCACTCATTCTCAGAACAGCCCTGCCCCTGGCCACACACCCCACTCATTCTCAGAACAGCCCCTCTCCCCCTCTGTTCACACCTACTCACACACAGAACAACCCCACCCCTGGCCACACCCCCACTTATTCTCAGATCAGCCCTGCCCATGGCCACACCACCACTCACACCCCTAAAATTAAAGTGTCCCTCTCTCCATGTAAAATATTGGGGTGGGAGGTATGCTATTGGCTTCTGGCAGAGAATTCTGTTTTTCAATTTAGGTATCCAAGGGCTAAATACTTTGATGCTATTTTATATATTTCTTCTTCCCAAGCATCTGCTTCATTAGATAAAGCATGTATGACCCACAAATAGAATTATACTTTTTTAACGACCTCCCATGAGCATCAGCCCAGAAATAAGAAACTCTGCTACTTTTTATTTTTTTTTTGGATGCAAATGTTTATTGTGAATATGTTACAAATCATGTTTCTTTTTCCTGAAATAAGATTATCTGTCTGCTGGGTTCCCAGATTATGTGTTAAAATCCCCATTTTCCCAGAGAATATTTAGATAGATCCATTCATGCTGCACAAGGGGACTGTTCACATGAGCAGGCAGTGTGTGCTTCTACGAGGTGTGTGAAGTCCTCGGCCTTCTCCAGTTTCATTGGTCCCTCGGCCAGGTCCAGCGTGGCGTCTGCAGAGGAAGAGTGAGAACAGTGAGAAAGTCGTGGTCAATAAAAGATGGTCCGTGGAATAATACCTATCTGTGTCACCCCTGAACGAATACAATGGGCCAACATTTTGCAAACGTAGGACTGTAGGCCCGCAATAAGGATTTACTATGAACCAAGCACTGAGCTCGAGGTACTCACCTGCTGGCAAGCAATGGAAGCCTGAAGATACTTCAATTGTTTTAATCGGCATGCAGCCTTTGGCACACAGAAGAATGGGCTGAACGGAATAACATTTTGGCTTCTCTTCCTCGCTCTCAAGATCCATTTTCACAATTGAACGTTGCAAATGGCACCCTGTAATAACGAATGTATCACTGCATTGCACAGTGCCATAGAATACGCTAATGCACACACAGTCTCTCTCTCTGCATTATAAAAGAAATCTATGCAATGGATACCTTCAGAGCACGACTCTGCCGGGAGAATCCAGGAATGAATTAAGCTGATCTGATCTTTTGCAATCGATCCATCTGGCATCTTGAATTGCTGTTCTGTCTCATCGTCATTCTGGCCACAAATACCACACATCTTGGCCTTCATCCACAGGGTCGGCCTCACCTGTAATCATAATGATAGCATGTATAGTTGCTGTCTTCATTGACCGCCAAGTCGTATTGTCTCATATGAGACTCTCTCAAACCTGGGCTGCAAGATTGTGTGGTTATGATAATCTTATCACATTATCTAGGCTGGATGGGGACATTTAGCTTTTGCTATTTTCCAAGTACATCCTAATCTTAGTATTTACAATGTGTAACCTATTAGAAGACAGAGATATAAAAAAAATCCAAATCATATTCAACAACAAAAAAAATGTTTAAAGGAAGCTCTGATTTCAAAATGTATAATATATATATTTGTCTCTTTTTTTATTTTTTTTTTATTTTAAGTGTTCCATGACTTTAAAAATATCCGTAAAATGTAGTAGTAACCCAGGGCCGAGACACTCTCCTGGCTGCCACTCTACGTGAAGTCATATCCTATTACATGCTTGTCATAGAAATACAGTTTGTGTGTGCCGGCACACGGCCATAGAATAGATTGACATATTTAATGTGTTTTAAGGTGAGAATTTAAATTTAAGGCCAGAGTAGCTGACTAAGAGAATGTTTCCAGTTTGGCTATTGTGACTTTAAATTGGAAACTCACTTTGAATTCACCTTTAATTCTCACTATAGTTAACAAACCTGTTTGTCTAAAACCCAGGTGGCCACAAGATCCACGATAATTACTTTAGTTAAAGGGACACTATAGTCACCAGAACAACTACTGCTTATTGTACGGCAAACAGCTTATTGTACAGTATACAGCGTAATGTACTGTATACAGCTTAATGCACGGTATACAGTTTAGTGTACGGTATACAGCGTAATGTACAGTATACAGCTTATTGTATAGTGTACAGCGTAATGTACAGTATACAGCTTATTGTACAGTATACAGCGTAATGTGTAGTATACAGCTTATTGTAAGGTATACAGCTTAATGTACGGTATACAGTTTAATGTACAGTATACAGCTTAATGTACAGTATACAGCTTATTTTACGGTATACAGCTTATTGTATTTTCTCTGGTGAGTATAATCATTCCCTTATGGCTTTTTGCTATAAACACTGTTAGTTTCAGAGTGCATTTACATTACAGCCTAGGGATACCTCCACTGGCCACACCTTAGATGGCTGCTAGAGGTGCTTCCTGGGGCAGTGCTGCACAGTGTGACTGACATTCAGTGTCTCTGCCCTCTGCATGCAGACACTGAACATTCCCCATAGAGATGCATTGATTTGATTTATCTCTATGAGAAGATGCTGATTGACCAGGGTTGTTTTTGGGTTGTGCTGGCTCTACCCTTGATCTGCCTCCTTTACAGTCTCAGCCATTCCATTGTAATTGGCTGAGATCAACACTTCCATTTGTGTCAGCCAAGGAGGCGGATCAGGGGCAGAACCAGCAGCAGTAGACCAGAATAAATGTAAGATTTTACTATATTTAGGGAGAAGGGGGGGGCAGGGAAGCTAGATGGTATTTTTAACACTAGAGGGTCAGGAATACATGATTGTTTTCCTGACCCTATAGTGTTCCTTTAACAACAGCAAGGCTGCAGCATCTGTGCCTCCCAATGATTTATTTACAGAGGTTTCAAAAAGGTCTAATTAAACAGTGGGTAACTGCTTGCATTTTCTAATCTCAGTGATCAAACTGTGGAAATGCTGTCTTTGTTTTAGGATGTAACAATACCTGCAGAATCTTCAGTAAAGCCTGCTTCGGGCTTCATAAATATTTTCTAATTATTAAAAGGAATACCTTGAATGTTACTCCATCAAAAGCAATTTCTTCAACACCGTAATCCGGTGCTAACAGAGATATTCCATTTTCCTTTTTGTGAATCTCGACAGTTGGTTCTACGAAAGAAAATATGATTACTTTTATGCAGCAGTGTATAGAAATTTTAAGTAAAGTCACTGTATAATTCTCACTGTTTGAATGAATGTTATCTTAAATTCTTACCTCCATGTGATTTATACGGGAGATGCTCCTCTAATAAATCTAATCCATTAATTGTCATTTTCATAGAACCAGACAAGTTGAGCATGTTGATTTCGCTGAGCGTGAGGAAACAGAATATTAGCCAGAATCTTTCACAGTCAATATATGTCTGAAACATTGTATCTCGCTCATCATTCCAAAGCAGTTATTATGAAATAGTTATATAATGACATAAAATTAATAAAATAGCAATAATCAAGCAATAAATTACTTACTAAGTGCCGATTTTGACATTAATAACCTTTTGGTCTGGGGAGCCTTGGACTTTTTTCATCAAGACCATAAATTTGAATTCATCGCTACAGTCTTGGGCCAGGACATGTAAGCAGTTGTCAGGTAAAGCAAGTGCTAAATTGACCCCGTTGAAAGTGGTAATTTCATTATGGGATACTTTGCATTCACCTGTATTATAGAAACAGGTATTAGTTGTGTGAAATTGCTGTTTTACAATAAGTCATGGCTTTAAATTCCATTCAAAATGTAATTCCACCTTGTAGGCCTTCAATGAACCTCTGGGGGATTTCGGAGATCATGCCCAATGTAGGAGCAAGCATGGTGGCTTCTTTAAAAGGAAAACGAGCTGGGATGGGCAGAGGTAGCTTCAAGGCTCTGGAATACAGTGTTGCCTACAGTCGGAAAAGGGAGTTAATCAATCAGTCATAATGTGTGAAAAGAATATAAGCAAGACATTAATTAAATTTGATGATTTGTATTACTATTTATATATAGAAAACTGATTCCATAGCACTGTCCAATAGGCCAGTAGGTGGTGAGGGCCTTGCTCTAACAAGCTTATATTTTATTGATTTCACAATCTCCTTATACATACAAGAATATTGTTACCTTGGGCACTTTGAGTACGATATCAAAAGTTCGTGGAGAGCTTAGGGCGACAATGACTTTGGCCTGATGAGATGGGTTTTTCCGGTTGTCCTGGGAGAATCCCAATATGTATGCAACACCGGGAAGATATTCAGACAGACTGTAAAGGAGTGACAGAGCCTGTATGTGACCGTTCAATACAAATACATTTCCTCTATGATCTAGGCACTAAGTAAATGGTAATTATGACCTATATCTAGAAATAAAGACATTTTTATGCCTCGAATCTTCTCATACTTACTATTTGCTGACTGACTTCATTTTGGGAGGGATTTTAGGCCAGTTCACAGTTACTTTCAGTGCTGGCTGGTGACCAAAGTGGCCAGTTTGGGCTTCGGTAATGATCTTGTAATCTTGGCAGTTCTGACCCCACTTTAGCGTTGCCTAAAATAACCCAAATATCAAAATGTTAACTTGTATGCAATACACTGTAACAGTACCTGTGTCATTCTGTTTAGCTATGCCTACTCTATGTGCTTCGACCATTAATCAGATGCTACCATACTGCAACATGAGCATCGGAATTCTGGTATAGGGATTACATTGTCTACTGGCCCCTCTTGATTCGAACTGACCTTGGCTTTCTGACCACTTTTGTCATTTCACCTGTTAGCACAACGTTAGGACTCATGACAGTGAAGGCACATGATATGCATCAAATAGCTAAAATGACAATGAAGGGGGAAGTTATCATCATGGGTGACTTTAATCTTCCTGATGTAAATTGGAAAACAAAATTAGCTACTTGTGCCAGGAGCACACATATTCTAAACTCCCTACTGGGATTGTCTCTAAAACAAGTTGTTGAGGAGCCAACTTGTAAAGAGGCCATACTAGATTTAGTGTTAACAAATGGAGATTTGGTATCAGATATTACTGTAGGTGAAAGTTTAGGATCCAGTGATCATCAGTCAGTGTGGTTTAATATAAGAACAGTGACTGAGTCACACCACACAAAAACAAAAGTTTTAGACTTTAGAGAAACAGACTTTTCTCAAATTAGAATATGGGTAGAGGAGTCATTATCAGACTGGAGCAATTTAAATGGAGTCCAAGAGAAATGGGATTATTTAAAAGTTGCACTATTGAAGGCAACAGAAAACTGCATTAGGCTTGTCAGTAAAAGCAAAAAATTCAAGAAACCACTGTGGTACTCCGCAGATGTGGCCAAAATAGTTAAAAACAAAAAGTTAGCATTTAGGAATTATAAAAAAACCCAGAGTGAGGAAGACAAAATGATCTATAAGATTAGGCAGAAAGAGGCTAAGCAAGTTATAAGAGCTTCCAAATCACACACAGAAGAGAAAATAGCACAGTCAGTAAAAAAGGGGGATAAAACATTTTTTAGATATATAAATGAGAAAAGAAAAGTAAAACAAGGATTAGTTAGATTAAAAACAAAAGAAGGAAGGTATGTAGAAGAGGATAAAGGTCTAGCTGACTGCCTCAATTAATATTTTTGTTCTGTATTTACAGATGAAAATGAAGGAAAGGGACCTCAGTTGAGAAAAAGGATAACTGAGTCATTTATTACACGTGAGTTTATAGAGGAGGAGGTTCTATTTCAACTGTCAAAAGTAAAGACAAATAAGTCAATGGGACCTGATGGAATACACCCAAAGCTATTAAAAGAGCTTAGTGGTGTACTAGCAAAACCATTAACAGATTTATTTAACCAATCATTGTTAACAGGAGTAGTCCCAGAAGATTGGAAGTTAGCGAATGTTGTGCCCATTTACAAGAAAGGTAATAGGGAGGAGTCGGGCAACTATAGGCCAGTAAGCCTTACTTCAGTAGTGGGGAAAGTGATGGAAACCATGTTAAAGGATAGGATTGATGAACATCTAAAAACACATGGATTTCAAGATCAGAGACAACATGGGTTTACTTCAGGGAGATCATGCCAAACTAATCTTATTGATTTTTTTGATTGGGTAACTAAAATTATAGATCAGGGTGGTGCAGTAGACATTGCTTACCTAGATTTCAGTAAGGCTTTTGACACTGTTGCACATAGAAGGCTTATCAATAAACTGCAATCTTTAAGTTTGGATTCAAATATTGTTGAATGGGTAAGGCAGTGGCTGAGTGACAGGCAACAGAGGGTTGTAGTTAATGGAATATATTTGAAGCTTGGACTTGTCACCAGTGGGGTACCTCAGGGATCTGTACTTGGACCCATTCTCTTTAATATTTTTATTAGTGATATTGCAGAAGGTCTTGATGGTAAGGTATGTCTTTTTGCTGATGATACTAAGATATGTAACAGGGTTGATGTTCCAGGAGGGATAAGCCAAATGGCAAATGATTTAGGTAAACTAGAAAAATGGTCAGAATTGTGGCAACTGACATTTAATGTGGATAAGTGCAAGATAATGCATCTTGGACGTAAAAACCCAAGGGCAGAGTACAGAATATTTGATAGAGTCCTAACCTCAACATCTGAGGAAAGGGATTTAGGGGTGATTATTTCTGATGACTTAAAGGTAGGCAGACAATGTAATAGAGCAGCAGGAAATGCTAGCAGAATGCTTGGTTGTATAGGGAGAGGTATTAGCAGTAGAAAGAGGGAAGTGCTCATGCCATTGTACAGAACACTGGTGAGACCTCACTTGGAGTATTGTACACAGTACTGGAGACCGTATCTTCAGAAGGATATTGATACCTTAGAGAGGGTTCATAGAAGGGCTACTAAACTGGTTCATGGATTGCGGGATAAAACTTACCAGGAAAGGTTAAGGATCTTAACATGTATAGCTTGGAGGAAAGACGAGACGGGGGGATATGATAGAAACATTTAAATATATAAAGGGAATCAACACAGTAAAGGAGGAGACTATATTTAAAAGAAGAAAAACTACCACAACAAGAGGACATAGTCTTAAATTAGAGGGACAAAGGTTTAAAAATAATATCAGGAAGTATTACTTTACTGAGAGGGTAGTGGATGCATGGAATAGCCTTCCAGCTGAAGTGGTAGAAGTTAACACAGTAAAGGAGTTTAAGCATGCGTGGGATAGGCATAAGGCTATCCTAACTATAAGATAAGACTAGGGACTAATGAAAGTATTTAGAAAATTGGGCAGACTAGACGGGCCGAATTGTTCTTATCGGCCGTCACATTCTATGTTTCTATGTTTCTATCTATCCTACTATTCTGCTATACAGGATAGCCATGGATTCAAATTTTGCATGCTGGCTTGCCTTCACAACCAGACAATTGCAATAAATTAATTCCACAAGTGATACATATATATATAAATATACCCGTGCTTCGTGTGGATTCAGGACAGCAGCATTCAAACATGCTCTCCATTTGCTGGTCTTTGAGATGTCCACCACATAGATCTGGACCCGAGGTTTATTCACTTGGTAATCTCCATAGACAATCACTTGGAATCCCTGGGACTTCTTGTCATTGCGAACGGCCTTGGCAGTGACAACCAGCAACGGATTACTGTTGTCACCAATAAATTTAGCCTAAATAAATTAAATCAAAGCCAGCAATTAGTATGCTTTTAATAATAATATTAGTGGGCTACAAAAAAAACACAAGGAACCTTATCCTCACCGAGCGTCTAGAAGTAGAACGACGACTGGAAGAGGAAGAAGATACTGCGCGTGGTCTGCTGGCAGTCTGCTGCTAAAACCAGTAATACATGTAACAAAATTATTAATGCGATAAATATAGTGTATCATATGTCATACTGGGATTTCAGCTGTTTGAGGTCACCATTACAGCATTGTGGGTCGTATCTTTACATTCTGATCATTTAGTCGAGTTACTTTAATATCTCCAGTTGCATCAATAAATTATTAAAGGAAATTGAATCTTACACAAAGAACTTTCCATGTAAATAAAGTATCAACGCTGGATGGTTTTTAACTACAGTTTACTATAATTTAAGGTTTTTTTGGTTTTTTTTACAGCAATAATTATGTCCGATAATTATGGAAAATGTGTCAAATGATTCAGCCCCCATAAGGCTATGGCTTCCTATGAATAGTGTTGAGAGCTAGTAACAGACTAAATGGATCGCTATGGTTTCAAGCCTTTTTCATTTTTTTATGTGAGATTATGTGAAAAGGGTTAGTTTGAACCAAGTACTTTATATAGATAATTTATACGACAATGTATATTGATGTTTGCAGTACTGCTTTGCTTGTTTTGTTGCTAAGTAATTACAAACGTTATTAAAACAGACCAAAACATGGCCTTGACTGTTTGTATGACCCAATGGATTTATTGGGCTGACCACTGGAAGAGCAGGAGCAGCACCTTTTCAGAAAGCAGCAACATCTGTAACCAGATTAATTAATTTTCTGCCCTTTTTATGGGTCTTGTCCTAAAAGGAGCAAAATTGTTAACTTACCCAGACTCTATTTCCTCGGCGGAATTTAAGGTCATAAAATTCTCTATAGTGCTGCAACAAGAAGAGGCAATACAGAAAAATATGTTAACTACAACCACTTCATTTTATAATTATCTACATGTGCGAGCACAGAATGCATCATTCACACTGTGCGAGCACAGAATGCATCATTCACACTCTATGAGCACGGAATGCATCATTCACACTCTATGAGCACGGAATGCATCATTCACACTCTATGAGCACGGAATGCATCATTCACACTCTATGAGCACAGAATGCATCATTCACAGTGTGCGAGCACGGAATGCATCATTCACAGTGTGCAAGCACGGAATGCATCATTCACACTCTATGAGCACGGAATGCATCATTCACCCTCTATGAGCACGGAATGCATCATTCACAGTGTGGAGGCACGGAATCAATCATTCACAGTGTGCGAGCACGGAATGCATCATTCACAGTGTGCAGGCATGGAATGCATCATTCACACTCTATGAGCACGGAATGCATCATTCACAGTGTGCAGGCACGGAATGCATCATTCACAGTGTGTAGGCACGGAATGCATCATTCACAGTGTGTAGGCACGGAATGCATCATTCACAGTGTGCGAGCAAGGAATGCATCATTCACATTCTATGAGCATGGAATGCATCATTCACACTGTATGTGCACAGAATGCATCATTCACAGTGTGCGAGCACGGAATCCATCATTCACAGTGTGCGAGCACAGAATGCATCATTCACAGTGTGCGAGCACGGAATGCATCATTCACAGTGTGCGAGCACAGAATGCATCATTCACAGTGTGCGAGCACGGAATGCATCATTCACACTCTATGAGCACGGAATGCATCATTCACACTCTGTGAGCATGGAATGCATCATTCACACTGTATGCGCACAGAATGCATCATTCACAGTGTGGAGGCACGGAATCCATCATTCACAGTGTGCGAGCACGGAATGCATCATTCACAGTGTGGAGGCACGGAATCCATCAGGCACGGAATGCATCATTCACAGTGTGTGAGCACGGAATGCATCATTCACAGTGTGCAGGCACGGAATGCATCATTCACAGTGTGCAGGCACGGAATGCATCATTCACATGGTATGAGCACAGAATGCATCATTCACACTGTATGAGCACAGAATGCATCATTCACAGTGTGCAGGCACGGAATGCATCATTCACAGTGTGCAGGCACGGAATGCATCATTCACAGTGTGCAGGCACGGAATGCATCATTCACAGTGTGCGAGCACGGAATGCATCATTCACAGTGTGCAGGCATGGAATGCATCATTCACAGTGTGCAGGCATGGAATGCATCATTCGCAGTGTGCGAGCACGGAATGCATCATTCACAATGTATTATTATTATTGCCATTTATATAGCGCCAACAGATTCTATAGCGCTTTACAATATTATGAGAGGGGGAATTTAACTATAAATGGGACAATTACAAGAAAACTTACAGGAAAAATGGGTTGAAGAGGACCCTGCTCGAACAAGCTTACAGTCTATAGGAGGTGGGGTATAATACACATTAGTACAGGATATAGAAATCAAAATAGGTGGGAATGAAGCAGAGCTGGAGGAGAGAGTAGAGTGCTGCTCTTTAGGAGAGCACAAGAGACAGGTATGTAAGGTAGAGGTTAGTCTGGGAGGCCATAAGCTTTCCTAAAGAGATGGGTTTTAAGGCACTTCTTAAACGATTGAAGACTAGGGGAGAGTCTGATGGGGTAGGCAGGCTATTCCATAGGAAAGGAGCCACCCGCGAGAGGTCCTGCAAACGCGAGTTGGCTGTACGGGTGTGAGCAGCGGTCAGGAGGTGGTCACGGGCAGAGCAGAGAGACAGAGGAGGGGCATACCTATGGATCATTGAAGAGATATCAGAGGGGCTAGAATTGTTCAGTGCTTTATAGGTATGGGTTAGCACTTTGAATTGACTCCTATAGCATACAGGGAGCCAATGTAAGGACTGGCAGTATGTATGAATTCATTGTAGGGGAACACTATATATGATGCAGGATTGTCCTTTGTAAAGATCACATGGACTTCTTATTTAGGGCAAAGTTCTAATTACCTTGGATCCTTGTCTGCTGCTGCTGCTGCTGCTACTGCTGCTACTGCCGCTGCTGCTACTACTCCTGCTGCTGCTGCTGCTGCTACTACTACTACTGCTCCTTCTGCTGCCACTACTACTGCTGCTGCTGCTACTGCTGCTACTACTGCTTATTCTGCCAGGACGTCTTTTGGAATGGTCTTGGTGATGAGGTATGTTTCTTCGGGAATCATCTTGATGTGTGACCACTCCATCAATTCCCTTGCTGCTACCTTCATTTCTCCTGTTTTTATTTCTGGCCTCTTTTCCAAGTCTGCTGATCCTGCTACTACTGCTGCTGCTGCTGCTGCTGCTACTGCTCCTGCTGCTGCTGCTGCTGCTGCTGCTGCTGCTACTACTACTACTGCTGCTGCTGCTGCTACTTCTTCCACTTCTGCTTCCACTGCTGCTACTGCTGCTGCTCTGCCTTTTTTTGGGACTTTGATGTGTTTTTCTTTGGTCTCGCTCTTGTTGGCGGCTGCTGCTGCTGCTGCTGCTTGACTTTTCATTTGGACGTTTGTTTTGATGCTGTTTGTTTTTGGATCTCTCAGAAACGGAAGATGATGAGCTTGATGATGAAGAAGATCTTGAGGAACTTGATGATGATGATGATGTGGAAGATGATGAAGAGCTAGATGAACTAGAGGAACTTGATTTTGACCTGCGTATTTCTACAACGTCTACACCTTCTGGATTAGTTTTCCGATAATGGATCCTGTGTCTCTTTCTCCTTTCAGCTCTATCTCGTTTTCGTTTGCTATTCTTGACCTGCTTAGGGGGAAAAGTGGCCATTTATAATATTGCTGTATTGGAGCATTTCTTTATCTGGCACTTATTTCAAAAATATGAAACCGATTTTTCATATCCACCTACCCTGAGGTCCTCATCAATTCCAAGAATAGTTTTTAGTCTTTTCTGAATAACAGACTCGTCCAGTTGATCTTCCTCTTGATTATCCACTTCTGTCAGAGCAATGATTTTGGAAGCAGCTTTTGGTCCAGTTGTTACCTCCAGCTGCAGTTTCTCAACTGCTGCATCAGTACGTTCTAGGAACATAAATGGACAATATGCATGTCAGCCATGAGAAAGCCACCACTGAAAGCAGCTAGCAACAATGATGAACAACCCTGTGACTCATTCCTAATCCTATAGGATACCACACTGGTTCCGTAACATCTCTAATGAGGACCGCCAAAGCTAATGTTTTTCAGCTTGTTGGTTCTATCTATTTCAAAGGATACATTTAATAAATATGTCTAATATAACACAGTTGTTTGCAATCACACAATTATCACATCATATATATTCACAACTTGAGACCTAAATAGAACTCTTAGAAATGTTTATTTAATTCCTTTTGTTTTCGTAAAAAAACTATTGATCATGACGTCATCATCAGCATCTCGGTGGACCTATCAGAACAATGGGCGCGACATTTAAACCCCCTTGAAGAGCCACTTACCGACGAAAACTGCGTTGGGGCTCAGCTGTATTCCTTACCCTGCTAAAAGAGTTAACGTCTTCATATAGATATTATCAGTTTGATTTCTACTTACTCTATTCCTCTACATTGCTTGATCGATTTTAGAGGTTGGCAGGGAGGGTGTTTGTTACTGTAGTGCATAGATAGCAGCTGTGACGAAGTGCCCTTCGCCACTTGTGCCTGGAGAGGACTGCTTGCCCACCTCTTGCCCTGTGACTATGGCCCCTGGGATGTATTGCCCTTTAAAGACATGATTTGGGCATAATGGATTTGTGTTGTGCTGCTGCTGGCCCTTTAAGAACCATCTGGGGCCATACTGTGGAGTTATTGGGGGGCACCATTTCCTGTATCAGAAGCACATGGTGAGAACAATGGATGGCGGCCCTTTTAACTCACAGACACTGTTTGGACTTTTCAACACGGTGCCATCTCGACAGTATTTGGTGCACAGAGACATCGTGCAGTGGTTTTGGACTATACAGCAGGGGACACATTATACAGTGATTGTTTTTCATTTAGCCTGTATATGTTCTGCAGAATCTGCATTAAACTGTATTTTCCAAAGTACTGAACGGATCTGGGTGAATTTTGGATATGTGGTTCACCCAGATCCCCCGGTTCCAAGGATATACTTTTTATGGGGTTATTGCATGTTTTGGGGTCCCTGTGTGTTTTATGAAACTGTATTATTTCTGGCCAGCAGATAATTGAGCTTTGTGTATTGTAGAAACTCAATTATCTAGCCTGGCCCAGAGGAGGAGTTTTGTGTTGCATAAATTGTGAGTTCTGTGTGCCAGTAAATCAGTCTTGTTCCAGCATTAAGCCTTGGCTCATGTTTGGGGGATTGGAGAAATACACTCTGGGGATTGCTATAATCACTATACTCCCCAGGGTATGATCACTAAGTTCTGCTAAGAGCTCGTTCCTGTTCCTGCTCTCTGGGGAAAGAGAGGTTCACCCACTGGAAGCTGGATCTTGGCCTTGGGTCCAGGGTGGGTGGAGACAGCAGAGACCCCGGCGCAGTTGCATCGCTGGGAGTGGGGTCTGCAGTGCTGATGGTGTCGGTTGGAGTCCTCAGCGAGCACTAGGAGCATCGATTGGCGGAGGTACTCAGTCGGAGTGCCAGTGTTCCGTCACAGCAGCCATTAGGGCTTGTTTGTTTTTCTTACTTGGCAGTAGATTAGGTGCCCTTGAAGGCACAGGTTTAGGCAGGGGTGTATTAGCCGCGAGGCAAACAAGGCATTTGCCTTGGGCGGCATTTTTCAGGGGGCAGCAAAAAACGCCGCCCCCCAAATGCCCAGGGCAAATGCCTAGTTAGCCTCGCGGCTAACTGACATCCCGAGCGGGCGGGCGGCGCTGGGCGGGCGGCCGGCAAGGGAGCTCTTCCCCTGAGCTGACTGCTATGACGTCATCTTCCGGCTCCCAGCCTCACTCTGCAGCTGGCGCGCGAGGGAGCTGAGCAGTCAGCTCATAGGAAGTGCTCCCTCGCCGGCCGGCCGCCTGCTAGCGCCGCCCGCCCGACCTGCCGCCATTGGACCACCAGGGAGAGAGACCCCCCCAGCACTCCCAAAGGTAAGGAGGTTGGGGGGGATTTAAATAAAAAAAAAAGTTAATGTGTGTGTGTGTGTCTGACTGTGTGTGTGTGTGTTTGTGTCTGACTGTGTGTGTGTGTTTGTGTCTGATTGTGTGTGTGTGTGTCTGACTGTGTGTGTGTATGTGTCTGACTGTGTGTGTGTCTGACTCTGTGTGTGTGTGTCTGACTCTGTGTGTGTGTGTTTGTGTCTGATTGTGTATGTGTGTGTGTGTGTGTGTGTGTGTGTTTTTCCCCTTTTATTAGGATTTACTTACCTTTTTTTCCTTCTTGTTTGCCACACATGAGATATATGGTAGCTGTACTGACCATTACTACAGATTGCTACTTTTTTTTACTCTCTTGAACTTCCTATCCAGGGACTCGATCATATTGTTACAGCATATCTCTTGTAGGGCAATCTAGATACCAGTTAATTTACACTTTATTCTTAGCGGTCTTTAAAGGGACACTATAGTTACCAGAACAACTACAGCTCAATGTAGTTGTTCTGGTGAGTATAATAGTTCCCTTCAGGCTTTTTTTCATGCAAACACTGCCTTTTCAGAGAAAAGGCAGTGTGTACAGTGTCTCTAGAAACAACTCAAAGTGGCCACTCTTTAGATGGCTACTGGAGGTGCTTACTGGGTCAGTGCTGCAGTGTTGATTCAATGCATCTCTGTGAGGAGGTCCTGAATGGCCAAAACTGCATTTGGCCCTGCCCCCGGGCCAATTTTAGCCAATCCAATGCTTTTCCTATGGGAAAGCATTGTATTGGCAAAAAATCTGCCATTTTGATGATGTTACAAATGGGGAGGAGCCAGCGAAGGTAGACCCCTGCAGCACTTGAAAATAAGGTGAGTTTTAAACTTTTTTTATAGGGTGGCTAAGGGGGAGCCACCTATATGTTTGTGTACCTGACCCTATAGTGTTCCTTTAGTTCTGATCTCTACCACTTCGATACCTTCAACTATATAGCATTTGTATAGTGAATTTTCAGTAATTCCTTTTTTTATTTTTATTTTTTCCGTGTTTTGAGGTTATTACCTTTTTTAACAATACCCATTAAATGTTATATTTTAAATTTGTCATCTTAATTATAGTAGTGGTACTATTAGGAGAGATCACGCTCTCTCGTTTTCTTATTCACAATTTTTTACAAGGGTTATCCCCTATTGTCTGTCCTGGACACTTTCCATAATATGGAACCTATGGAATATCTCTTTTCCCATCAGATGGAACCTAGCATCCCACCTCCCACTAGGACAACATAAACATGAGGTCAGACAATGTGTCACCCATATAATATGCAAAATATAAATTGTTCTAACAGTTACCTACCTGGTTTTACTGAAATATGAGCTTCATTATCTCCAAGCACTTGGTAAAAGAAGGAATGTTTCTTGTGTGCAGAATTTTTCTTTTTTTTCCCAACACATACGTGTAATGGAAGGTGGAAGATATTCAGACATAAAGCAAATGTTTGAGGAGTAGGTTTCTGCTGTCCAGCTGCAAAACTGACATACTTCTTGGTTTCAGAAGAAGCTTCCTGCAATGAGAGAGAACATTCCACCATAATTGACAACTGATGCATTAAACATTGCACTTTGTCTTGCTAAATGATGGACTGACATAGCTTCTTCACCATATGACAATATTTCCTAAAATGTGACCACAAAGGTTGCCGGTGCAGCCCAGATTTCATCACATGGTTGGTGATATTGTGAAAAACATCACTTTTTAATTTATATGTAAATTGCAGAGCAATTAAATGCTTATAATGTCTTTTGAAATTAAACAAAGTCATTTGTATCATGAAGCTATGTATTTACCATCATACTGGCTCCTTCTGCTGAAGTCCTTCCTGTGGTCTCAAAATGTTCCTTCAGAATATCCTGAACTCCTTCTCTTGGGACAATCAGTGTCTTCTTTGCTGCTTCTGGCTCTTCCACATTCCTACTGATGGCATAGGTCTGGGCCCTGGAGGAACATGGGACAATTTACAGATAATAGGTCACTGATCAATATCCAGGACACGAGGAACGTTCAATACTGCATTTGGTCGAATTGTTTGACTTTAGTTGGAAACGTTAACAATTAATAGAAAGAAAACAAACTAACTAATAAATACCTAATTTGGATCACTTTGTTTTCTTGCTGAACGGGAGCTGATTCTATTTTCAGATTTTTCTCTTTCATGTCCAGGTGAGCAGTGAATTTCACAGGGATTTTTGTTTGAATTCTGCTATGAAACTCGAGTCCGCTTTGAATAAGTCGGGTATTAACTCCCATTGTTGCCACTCCATGAATTAAAATGCTGTAAGAGAAAAAGTAACAGTAATGATCAGAGCAGCAAAGCAAATGTACAGTCTCTCCTGGTTAGATAGCAGTCTCTCCTGATTAGATAGCAGATCTCTGCTGGTTATAGAGCAGTCTCTCCTGATTAGATAGCAGATCTCTGCTGGTTAGATAGCAGATCTCTGCTGGTTATAGAGCAGTCTCTCCTGGTTACATAGCAGTCTCCATTAGTATGATGGCTGTCTTTTGGTTAGATAGCAGTC